TGGTTCAGAGGTCGTCGTCGTCGTCGTCGTCGTCACCGTCGTCCTCGTCGTCCTCGTCGTCCTCGTCGTCCTCGTCGTCCTCGTCGTCCTCGTCGTCGTCGTCGTCGTCGTCGTCGTCGCCGTCGTCATCGCCGTCATCGTCGTCGTCGCCGCCGCCGCCGGCGTCGTCGCCGCCGCAGCCGTCGTCGTCGTCGTCGTGGTCGTCGTCGTCGTCGTCGTCGCCGTCGTCGTAGTCGTCGTCGTCGTCGCCGTCGTCGTCGTCGTCGTCGTCTCTGGGACCATGCCATCTTGGGGGGGGCGAGGAATTTTGGGACCATGCCATCTGGGGGGGGGGGCGTGAACCCTCGACCCTGAATCATATAACGTGGAGGATGTGCGCGGGCCAGGGCCGCGCGCTTTCATCGGAAAGATCAACTTCGGAACATCGCAGAGCATGTGGGCCTTCCTGAAGGCATTCAAGGGCCACGGTGTCCAGTTCCAGGGGGAAAACCTCTCCCACCAGATCGACAACACCGAGGACGAGAGGCAGATGGGCAAGAGGACGTCGGCTGCTCAAAACATCGTCGTGGAACACCTGCAGGAAGCGAGCGTCCCCGGACAGAACCCGACGCGGGAGGACATGTTCCAAGCAGTGCCGTGCGACTGGGACGCGGGCATTTTTCGCCATCGCTCCAGGGACGCCCAGACCACGAGGCTCTACAAGGCGAACAGATCCACGGGGCTTTTCGAGGCATCCTCCCGGGCCGCCGCCGCCGCCCGGAACCTTCGCTTTGCTGAACACTTGCAGGACATCAGTTTCGGCACGCGCTGAGAAGCAGGGTCAACGGCGCCCCAGGGACGGTGCTCAACATTGCGAGCTACGTTATGGACTGTGAGAAGCATCGAGAATGAAATCAGCGCCTTTCGCGCAGACCTGGAGCCCGAGGGGCATTGGGGTGCGCTTCTCCTCCATGAGGCTGTTTGCTCCCAGACCTCCCAGATTGGTGCCGTGGGCGGCGGCCGCGTTCCTTTTGTTTCGAGCTCCTATGAAGGGCGCATAAGGACAGCGAGAATCGCCCATCGTTCGTTCGAGGGCGACGCCGACGCTATTTGAAAACAGCGGAATGAAGCCGTGTCCGCGGGGCGCAGGTGGGGCTGGCAGAGTGTCCTCTTTGTCTATGATCATCTGCCCCCTACCATAATGAAGGCGAATCTGATCACGATATCGATCATATCCAGGAATGTTATAGGCGAGTGCTCCCTCGAGTATCTGATGATTGGTGTGGATGCCCAGTCGACCGTCGGAAATCGTCAAGGTGCTCCTGGGGCGGGTTCCCACACTGCCTGCCCTATAGACGGGATCTCGTCGCCTTCACCTCCCGGGCTTCGTTAAGGCCCGCGACCTCGCCCTCCTCAACGCCATGGGCTCCGCCCCCCAAGACTGCTGGACATGCCAGCACGATTGCAAGCATGGTTTCCAGCTGAGCAAATCGAGTACATCGGAGTTTCTTGAGATCAGCTTGATCGCCAAAACAAGTTTTAAACGTCCTTGCCTGCGCCCGCGGCGACGGAGTCAGACCGCGGGCCCATCTGCGTCACGCTGCAGGATTTCAAGGTGCAGCTCCCGCGGCGAAGGTCTTGTTTTGCTCGCTCCCCGCTGGGGTGAAGAAGAGGTGGCCCTTGCAAGATCTGCGATCAACGGGGGCCCCCTCTTTTTCCAGGACCAGAGTTCGAACCTGAACGGGGCCCCTGGGCCTGGCGCGCCTGGACCGGCGGGAGCTGTGCCAAGGGGCGTCGTAATCCGAAAAGTTGGATGGGTGTTTGCAACTTTTCTTCAGGGATCTGATGATCCTGCTGCCAGGTGTCAGGCTTTGTTATCCGCTAGTGGGCCCGTCACGGACGACCCGCAGCGCGAGCCCTTCCTAGGCGCGGCTCGCTGGGCCAACGGCACGACCAAGATCGCGGCCCTGGTCGAGCACAGTTGTTTGGCTCCTGAAACAGGGGCAGCATCGACGAGCTCTATCGACGCGACCAGGCACTCGCAAACGATGGTGATCCGACAGGTTCCTGATTCCACGGGGAAGCATCTTGCGCACCCGCGCCGATGCGAAATTTGCGATCCTGGCCGCCGAGGGTAAGATGCGACCGATAGAAAACGTTGTCCTGGCTTGTCTTCGGAAATCTTGTCGCGTGAATTTCGCCTGGGGCCGTTCGCGCCAGGCCGGAGACGTCGGGAACGATTTCGCGGATTACCTATCCAAACATGGAGCCAGGCTCCAAGCTGAAGTACCGAAGTGGACTCGCCCAGCTCAGGTGGATTGGTGTCAAGCAAATGTTCTCCGTCTGCTGGGTGGCGCCCAGCCGGTCAGTCCACCGATCCACTAGCAGATGCGACGCCAGCAAAACAGACTGAGATCCAGCTCCCCGTCGTTCCTCATTGGGGACTTCTCGGAGACGACGCCTCCGTCGCCGGTGCCGCGCACGGGCGCAGGTGGGACAACTCCCCCGACCCTGAGCCAATTCGCGAAAATAGTCGCTAGCGTTGCTTCTCGATGTGGTCGAGGCACGCATCGGGCGCGGTCCCGCCAGGCGATCCCCCGGCAGCTCGAGTCATATATTTACAGCGACAGCTACGGGTGGAGGCGGGGGGCCACATGCGCAAGCACCTAGCTCAGGAACTACATCGAGCTAGACGGCAGATCTCCAGAAAGCTGTCAACGGCGAAACTGGACGAGGCCGTCAAGACGAAACGATTCCCCGGACGACCCAAAGCCCGCCCCCGAAACCCCGAGTTCAAGCTGGGCCCAAGACGACGTTGCCTTGACGGCGACGACGACCCGACAGAAGCCGAATATGCTGAGGGACTTCTACCCGGGGCTATTCTGAAACGAGACCCCGTCGCCCGCGCCTTCGGCGCCCCTGGCCCCGCCCCGGGCCATCGACGAAAGACCCGCCGTGGCTGCAATGGCACTGAAGCCTGTCTGCCTGAGAGGTTCTCACAGCTCTGGATCGCGGGTGGTTTCAAGATGCGGTTGTCAAGGTGAAGATGCCAAGCAGGGATCTAAACGGGATGGGGCGGTGGTGGAGATGCTCGCGCAGTTGCCCGAACAGGCTTCTGACTGCGTAGCGAAAGTGTTCCGACGCCGCCTCTTGCGTTCTCGAGGGGGGCAGGCCGACGACGCGCGCGGGGCCGCGCGATCAATCTTTTCACGGCGGCTGGCCTTGCTACGACGGGGGGCGGCGCGTACTTTCGCCCCGTCGCGCCCCTGTCAGCGCGTTGCAAATGGCGCGGCCATGCCCTAGTGTTTCTACGTTTGTCTCTGACAAAGAACCAACAATCGACGTGCCAGTGCGCGTTCAGAAGAGATCCCCAGGCCGATGGGGCGATTTTTTCCTCGGGCAGCTTTTCGATCGATTCAGCGAGCGGGGCCCCGAACAGCCTCCCTACGCTCTCGCGGCGGGCGCCCCGATGGCCGATGACTATGCAGATAGAGGGGAAGTAGGTATCGCGGGGGCGCAATATACTCCTGGCGGGCTGGATTAGAAAGATCGGCACTATGTCTGCGACCGTCTATCTGGACGACCTCGCGTGTTCAGCCCCAGTTGGACGTGCCCGTTCGCTGGTGCAGGGGCGCCATGCAGTCCCTTTCCTTTTTCCCACCTGCGCCTCGACGACCTGATCGAGACGTTCGTCAGGTGGTGCGAGAAATGCAAGTGAGGTCTCCGCTGGCAAGTATCATCCTCCGACCCCTCCGAGGACCTGTTTGTTCCGATTCTGCGTTTCGCGGGCAACTTCTGGGCCCTTGGGCGAACCCGAAGGGGGGCGAACGCCACGACGGCAAAATGGCTCCAGATTTCGAGGAAAGGAGGTCCCAAGGTGGATCTCGCACAGTAGCGATGGTCCAGCGCGCCCTTTGCCTCGGCGCGCGGTTGGAACGAAACCGCCAGTGCCCGGGGCCAGGGCATTGCCGGGATCCCGAGGACAAGGTAGGAGCGATGATTTCGCGCGACGGACGAGACGAGACGGCCATGGAGTACATGATATCCTAGGCTTGGAAGGTTTGGTTCCAGTGGCGCTCGGCGCTCTGCCGGCACCGCGTGCCCGTGGAGAAGCGGCCCCTCTTGTGCGACAGCATTGTGCGTGACAGTCTCTTCTGGGGGGTGAAAGGGTGGACGCCCAGAAAGGACCAGTTATTTAAGCTCCGAGGCCTCCAGGACACCGCGCACAGAAGAGTTCCCAGCTTCAGAAAGACTTCGGAAGAGCACTGGGGTCAGTTCATGCACAGAACGCGTTGAAAAATATCAACGCGATGAGGAAAAAGCTCGATATCTTCGACTGGGACGATTTTCTAGTGACAGTGCAGCATCGGTGGGCAGGGCACGTGGAAAAAATGAGTGAGAGCGACCCCGCCCGTCTGACCCCGCAGGTCCTCCATTTTCGCGACGCCAGGTTTCTTCGGCGTCAGGGAGCAATTCTTGGTCGTGGGCGCCAGGGCCCCGCCAGAAAGCTGCGCCCATGGAGGTGGGAGTCGTGCCTTGCTCGTTGTCCTCACACTACCCAGCCTTCGAATTTTGTTGCACGATCTTTGGTACCATCGCATGAATACATTTGTACAGTGGCATTCGGTTGCTGACTTTTAACACAGCATACATACACACCAGCATCATCATCATCACCATCTTCCTCCGCCAGGGAAATCGTCTGTTTCCCCTCGCAGACACCGGATTTCATGATCCCAAAGGGTTTAATCTCACAGGTCGTCGGTTATATTTACATACGCGTGTACTTCCATAGTTGGATCTGCATTTATAAACATTTATGTCGCACATGTTTCGCACAGATCTCCAGAAAAGACAGAGATACTGAGAGACAACAAATGCAAACAAAACGAGAGAATGGCAGAGAGAGAGAGAGAGAGGAATAGAGAGAGAGAGAGAGAGAAAGAGAGAGAGAGAGAGAGAGAAAAACGGACGTGCGTAGCTCAGCCTCCTCTCCCTCTCCTTTTCCCTGCGCCTGGGAGGTACCAGGCCGCAGCGGCGCTCGCCGCGGCCAGCAGCGGGGAGGCGTCAGCCGAGCTGGCGCGAGTCTGCCGCCTGAACGAGGCCGCCTGCCTGCTGAAGCTGGAGGCCTTCTGCGGCGCCGCTGCCGCCTGCACCGCCGTGCTGCGCGAGGACCCCAGCTGCGTGAAGGTCGGCGGCGCGCCTTAGGGAATAGTCGCAGGGGGCGTGCCATTTCGGAATGGGCAGAAAGCCTCGGGCCTTCAGACATTTTTAAAAGCTTTCTCCGACGCCACAGAGTGTTTCTCTGAAAGCTCGGGGGGTTCTCGGAAGCCCCGCCGTCTTCTGACAAGGACGGCCCGCCCCTTCGCTTGCCCCGCCAGTGCGCCGCCGGGAAGGCCCTGTTCCGGCGCGCGACCGCGCGCTTGGCGCTCGGCGAGCCAAGGGCGGCCGCCGAGGACGCCGCGAGTCTGGCGGAGCTGGACGCGGGCAGCTTGGAGGCGCAGCGCCTCTTGGCGAGGGCCACGCAGGCGGCCAGCGCCGACGAGCGAAGGTCCGCGGAGGTCGCCAGGGGCATGGCCAGAGCGCTGGACGGTTCGGCGGCGGAGGCCGAGGCGCGGCGGCAGCACGAGGAGCGGCACCGGAAGGGGCCCGGGCAGGTCCTCAGCGTGGCGGAGCAGGAGGAGGCGTGGGAGAAGGCGGTGCGGGCTGCCGAGGCCTGGGCGCCCAAGCCGGGGTCGGCTCGCCCTTGTCCACCCGCCCTCATCCTCCTCCGTTTCCTATTCCCGAGACGTCTGCTTCTGCTCCCCCTGCTTGGGCGTGTGCTCGTTTTCGGGCTGCTCGCCGCAAGGATGAGTGGACATGGATGTTGGTGCGCACTGTGGTGGACAACAAGTGGTTGGCGCTTCGCGGATCCCCACCAGCCCATCCAGACACGATCGCCAGGTGAGTTGCCTTGATGAGGGCAGCGTAGTAGCATACAGTGCGACAGCAGCCTTGAATGCCTTTCGGGGGTAAGGGGAGGGCGGGAACATATGCTGTATGAGTCGTCGAAATTTAAGATGAACAGGTCGACCCGGCGCCGTTTTGGCTCTATGGGGGTTTTGTTTGGATCATCTTCGACAAGTTTTGACCTACCACGGTTACGTCGTCGGGCAGGGGTTCCTGCACCACCATGCTGCCAATGATTTCGCAAACGGGTCTTGGAACAGACACTGTCATTTTGCCCCGAATAAGAGAGGAGGAGGGTGAGGAGGAGGAGGAAAAGGAAAAGGAGGAGGCATGCGGCCCTGGATGTGTCACTCGTTACCTATTTTTTGATATTGCCTGAACAGGTTGAGGAAACACATACCACATTGACCCGAATGACAGAGGAGAACGAGGAAGAGGAGGATGAGGAGAAGGAGGAAGTGGAGGAGGAGGAGCAGGAGGAGAGGTCTTGGTGGTCCTTGGGGCCTCTTGGAGCATCTTTGATGCCTCGGAGGAGCCTCTTGGAGCCTCTTTGTTCTCTCGTAGTGGCCTCTCGGGGGTCTCTTGAGGGCCTCCCTGGTGATGCTGGGCGCCTCCCTGGTGATGCTGGGCGCAAGTTTGGACTCTCTGAGGGCCATTTTGGAGGAGATCGATCCAAAAAGGAGGGTTTAAGAATTCCACTCCCACCCTCGGGGACTCCAAGATGGCCTCTTGGGGGACTTCTGGGCCGCTCTTAGGCGCCTTATGGGCGCTTGTGGGCCCGTCTTGGGGCCGTGTTGAGTCCTCTTGGGTCTCTCTGGGGCCGTCTTGAGGCCCAATGGGCTCGTTAGAACAGAAAAAGTGAGAAACCCACGAACCGTGATTTCGCATTCGGTGTGTGAAGGAGTTTGGCCTCTTGGAGGTTGCCCTGGGCGGCTCGAATGGCACTTGACCCCTCTTGGGGCTGTCTTGGGGCGTCTTTGAGGCTTGTCGGAGGCTATCTTGAGCGATGGTGAGGTCTCTTAAGCTATATTTTAGGCACTCTTGGGTTGTCGTGGGCCCCCTTGGAGCCGTTTGGGGCCATCTTGGGCTCTCTGACGGCTTCCCCCTCCCTTCCCAGGCCCATGGGAGGGGGTATGGGGAAGGGATAAGCCCTTCCCCCGAGCAGGGAAAGGATGGGTTGTGGCAGGGAAATTCGTCAAACCGTTCAGCCCAGAGGGCTGGTGGGACTTTCTATTCCCCAGAATTTGAGATGAGGTTCGCCCACCATCTCCCTTCCATACCAGGGTTCGCTCATATTCCAATTCGCTAGCACCTAGGCCCACTCACGCGCAGACGAACTCAGTCACTACGCAGACTCATTCACATCCAGACTCATTCGTGCTCAGACTCGCTTCTGTCCAGAATCACTGATAGTCAGATTCACGCGCGTTAAAACTCATACGCAGACCCAGTCGTATCCATATTCGCGCACATGCAGTCTCATTCGCACTTAGACCCAGCCTCCCAGAGGCACCCATAATTATTCCGGTTCGTCATCACTTCCACACACCTGTCCACCCACATTCAGACCGCATAGTAGAGAAGAGCAAACGTCCGAGGTTACCACTGCACCCTTCCCCGTGCGGTCCATCCTTCTCCGCTTTCGCCGGCCGTGCCCCGCTCGCAGAGTTCCGTCCGACATGGCCTTCCAAGGCTCGTGCATCTTTACCGTGCGTCCTTACCATACGGGTTGGCTGCCCTCGCTTCTTACACTCAGGCTCCGCCCACGCTCACCGCGACGTGGCGGGCGGGGCAACTGGGCGCCCCGAGGAGGAGCCGCCGTGCCCCCCCCTTCGCGCCGCGGGCTCCCCTGATTCGACAGGCCCATGGCCACCGCGAAGCAACAGGCGTGGCCTTTGGGCACCCATACGGTCGGACCGAGGTATAAGATCGCTTGGCCGGAGGAGGATCTCATGTTCTTGAAGGATGTTTTTCTGTCGTAGGTCTGGCTGTCGCAGGCGTGGCATTTGGGCACTCATCGGGGGGACTGCCAGAGGGTGTTAAATTTGCCCGTTCGCGGTCAGACCGTGGTAACGTCTGAAGCGAAACGCTGGCTTTGACACCCCCGACTCTGTCACTTCAGAGTCCCAAGATCATCCTCATGCAGCAGGCAGAGAATTTGGACACTCAAGGGGGAGCCGCCTGGGAACGCCCAGTCGCCACAAGCTAATACTCTCCTCACTCAGACGTTCAGAGCGGGGGAAGTGCCAGGAAACGAGATGCACACATGGGGAGTCCCCGCGCCGAACACTTGTTCCGCAGCCATTTTGGCTCAACCCGGCTCGGCTCGATCGACCTTCGGGCGATAGCGTGATCCAGGGCCGTCAGCAGCCATGGCGCCAAAGCAGCGGGAGCGCACCGGTGCCGGCGTGTTCGCCTTGCTGGGCGTAGTGTGGTGCCCCAGGCCTCCAAATGAGGTCTCAGCAGGTGGGTTCGGAGGGCCGCGCCGCATCGCCGACGCATCGGCGATGCGGCTCGATGTGGAGCCCGATTCCTCCACGCCCGCGTCGCCGTGCCCCACGTCGCCGATGCATCGCCGATGCATCGCCGACGCATCCGCGATGCGTTGGCGATGCGGCGCGACCCTCCGACCCATCGGCTCTGACCCCGGCTGGGAGGCCTCCAGGTGCGCGGCCCCGGCTTTCGTGCCCACGCCCTCCTCGGCTGCCCAGGCCAGGGCTCGAGCCAAATCGTGTTTGGGCCCTCTCGTGGGCCCGTTTCGTGTCGACTTCGTGGTGCTGCGAAGGCGGAACGAAGATAGATTTGAGTCGGGCATGTCCCTCGGCAGGAGGGAAGCTCAAGAATGGTCAAAACTAGTACGGGGGCGGCTTTTCGACTATCTTTGACAGTTGCTGAATACTTTTGGCTACTTCTGATCTGTCTCTCCATCTTCGGGCGAAGGGAACTATGCACATGCACCGATCCTGGCAAGGCCCATCCTTGACCCAGGATCGGTGCATATACCTTCCTAGCCAAGGTAGGAGGGCGTATGCACCGATCCTGGGCTCAGGATGGGCCTGGCCAGAATCGGTGTATGTGCATAGTTCTCTTTCCTCTACATCTTTCTTTTTTGAGTGTTTGTTTTGAGGCCGCTCGCGCCACCGGCGCCGCGCTGCTGGGCCAGCGGCCCGGCGGCGGCGCGGCGGGGCCGGCGGCGCCCGCCTCGCGGCTCCCCGCGGGCCCCGCGGGCGTGGCGGCCGTGGCCGCGTGCGCCGTGGCCCTCGCGGCCTGGCCCAGGCGCGGCAGCCAGGGCAGGAGCTCCGGGGAGGAGGAGGTGTCGGGGGGCGGCCAAGAGTCGACTGTGCGTAAGAGTGACCCTTCGCCGGAGTGACCTTTGGTGCGGGCCCAACGGGGGTCTCCCGATCGCCGAGCGCGGTGCGCTTGTAGCGTCCTGCGCGCTTGCGTTTGGTCCCCCCGCGGCCGCCCAGAAGCCGCGCACCAGAGGTCACTCTTACCCAGGGTCACTCCTGCGTGTAGTCGAAAGAGTCGTGATGTTCCGACCTGTCCGACCAGAAAGGATTTCGAGCCCCAAGACGGTACCGAAACTGGAGGGTGTTCACTTGTCGGGTCCCGGGAGGCGATGCTTGTTCGACACTTTATCGATACTTTTTGGGCGCTCGAAATTATTGAATCGCTTTGCTCATTCCGCCGGACCATCTTGCCTCGCCGCTGTCGTTTGCCGGGGTGTTGCTGTCAATGCGGTGCGGTTGGGCGGCTGCCATTTTTCGGAGGCGATGGGCGGCGGGTCAGAGGCCTCACGGATGTTGGTTGGGCTCTCGCGGTTGGCCTAACAGGGGCCTTCGGAAGGCAGTTTTGAGGCCTTTGGGGGGCCTCTTGGGGGCCTCTTGGGGCCTCTTGAGGCCTCTTGGGGGCCTCTTGGGGCTTCTTGGGGTGCCTCTTGGGGGCCCCTTAGGGCCCCCTGGGGGCCTCTTGGGGCCTCCTTGGGGCCTCTTGGGGCTGAAGGCTGGACTTTTCGGTTCCTGGTCCCCCTTGGCCCTCTTGGGGCCGTTTTAGGGCTCTCTTGGGCCGTCTTGGCCGCCTCTTGGGCTGTCCTGGGGCCATCTTGGGCCGTCTTGGGGCCCTCTTGGGGCGGTCTTGGAAGCCTCTTGGGCCGTCTTGGAGCGCCGTTAGGCCGAAAAGGCGAGAACGCCAAAAACCGTTAGACACTAGGACAGTCATACATTTCTGCCTCTGTGGACCCTCTTGGGAGGTCGCTTGGAGGCTTCTTGGGGCGTCTTGAAGGCGCTTTGGGCTGTCTGGAGGCAATATTTGGTGTCTTGGATCGCTCTTGGACCGTCTCGGACCATTGGAGGCCACTTGAAGCGCTCTTGGGAGCCTGCTGGGACCTGGCCGGGACCTGTCCGGGATCTTGCCGGGACTTTGCCAGGACTTGCGGGGGTACTTTTCGTCCGGGGACCCCCAGGGGCGGCCCCGCGCGCGCGAACTAGAAATATTGTCAACCAGTTACCGGAGATCTTAGCACGCCCTTGGCCCGTTGGGGCGGCGAATTTCTGGGATGTGGTCCGTAAGTACGACGGGCAGGAGCTCACGGGGGGAGGGGGTGTCGGGGGCGGTCAAGATCTAGGCCTCCGAGGTGGGGTCCGAGCAGATGGGGTCGGAGGGCCGCGCCGCATCGACGTTGCGTCGCCGATGTGGCGCGATGCGGAGCCCGATTTCCTTCACGTCGACGTTGCCGATATGCATCGCCCACGCCGAAGATGCATCGCTGGCGCATTGCCGATGCATCCCCGATGCGTCGCCGAGGAATCGCCGATGTCTTGGCGATGCGGCGCGATCCTCCGACCCCATCTGCTTCGACCTCATCCAGGGGGGCTCTACAAGAGAGGGGTGATGACGGGGGGGGGATGTCATGGCCAGGGCCATGAGATCTTCCTGGATTTCATGGCCCCTCTTCTTGTTTCAGTACGTCCCCGGTTCCCCCTCTGGGCCGCGCAGATGCCGCCGGTCATGATTTACGCCCCCCCCTCTTGGACACCCCTTCTTGGCCGCCCCCGAAGGTGCTCGAAGAAGAAACAACGGCAGCAACATAAACTTTTGGCGCTCCGCGCGGATTTCTCGGATCCGCGCTGGGGCCCCCAGGCGGCGCTTCTGGCGCCGCCCCTGGCGCGCTCCGCGCGCCAGGGAGGGGGGTCCAGCGCAGATCCAAGAAATCCGCGCGGAGCGCCAAAAGTTTATGTTTCTGGCGTTGTTTATGTTCTTCTATCAGTGGGGAGGAGTTGCCGAAGAGCAGAGGATTTGGGCCTCCCAGGTGATCTAGGCCTCCCACATGGTGTCCGAGCAGATGGGGTCGGAGGATCGCGCCGGATCGCCGATGCATCGCAGATGCGTCTCGATGCGTAGCCCGATTTTCTCCGTGCCGATGGCACCGATACGTCGCCGATGCGTCGCCGATGTATCGCCTATGTATCGCCGATGCGGCGCGATACTCCGACCCCATCTACTCAGACCCCATCTAGGAGGCCTCTGCAGATGAGCGGCGCACAAAAGCGGGGTCGTCTTCGCCGACATTGGCGCGTAAGCTGCCCGCGTAGGGCCGCGCGTGAGCGCCCTCGTCTCCAATGTAGCGTGCCGCGCCGGCGGCCCGCGAGAGCCACCGCGTAAGGTCACTACGTCATCTCGCTTGAGGCCCGTTTTTGATCGTCGCTCATATGGGGTCCGAGCAGAAAAAGGCGAATCTGGTGCAAAGCCAGTCCAAGTCTGTTCCCGAATGTCTTCCAGCTTCGATCCAGAGCAGGCCCGAATCGGACAGCGCCTCGGGCCACGTAGGATCGTAGGATCCCATGCAACAGGCACCAAAGATTGGGTAGGAGGATCGCGCTGCACCGTCGCAGCATTGGCGATGCGGCTCGATGTGGAGCCTGATTTTCTTCACGCCGACATCGCCGGTGCATCTCCGACGTCGATGGTCAGAGGAGGAACAGCTGCCCAATATCTCTACTCTCCCCTCGTTTTCCCCTTCTTGGGCTTCCTGATAGGCCCTTTGTCGCCACCGCTGGATTCGCCTCGAAATCCTCAGGCCCGGGGAGTCAGTCGTTGTATCGGTACCTTCTGGTTTCCTCAGATGCGGCGCCATCTACTCGGACCCCATTTGGGAGGGCTCTGGAGGAGGACGAATTGGGACAATTGTAGTTGGCCCTTGGGGCCCTGTCTCCGCCACGGCTGGACGCAGCTCGGAAACCACTGGTGCGCTTGGACCCGGGGGGAGGGGTCTGGGGACCGATGTTGAGCTGCCGTTGTCCCAACTCGCGCGGCTCCAAGATACCGCGACGCCTACCTCGATTTCGCCTTTTCGGGCCTCCTGTGAGGCCCTCGACGCCATTGGGCTCGCCTCGGAATTTTGGCCAGGACGCACCCTGGGAGAGGTCCGGAGGGCAGCTGCATCGGTACCATGACCATGGTTTCCACAGGAGCCGCGTGGTGCTCGCAGCGCGCGGCGGCGGCGCGGAGGCCCCTCTGGTGGTCATCGCTGGCCCCCCGGCCGCGGGAAAGGGCACGCAGTGCGAGAAGATCAAGGCGAAGCACGGCTCGGGGAACAAATCGGGGGTTCGTATAGAGGGGGGAGGGTGTCCGGGGGTTGTCCAAGGTGGGGTCAGGGAACGAGCCCAGTTTGATGCTCACAGTTCCTGTTAGGAGCCGTTTTTAGCGTTTTTTCTCCAGCCTCCGCTCGGCCCCTACCCGACTGTTACGTCCCGCCGAGCAGTAATGGCATGGACAATTTTAGGAGCTCCGCGCGGATTTCTCAGATCGGCGCTGGGCCCCTCCCGGCGGCGCCTCCGGCGCCGCCCCTGACGCGCTCCGCTCGACAGGGAGGGGTGTCCAGCGCCGTTCCAGGTAAGCCGCGCGTAATCCTCACTTGAAGTTCATGCATGTGTAAGCTGTTGCTCCTTGAAAGGCGAAGTACGGCTACGTGCACATCTCCACCGGCGACATCCTGCGTGAGAACGTGAAGAACGGCACCGAGCTCGGCAAGAAGGCCGAGGGCTTCATGAAGGCGGGGGCCCTGGTCCCGAGCGAGCTCATCGTCGACCTCGTGAAGGACCGCCTGGGGCAGGACGACGTCAAGGAGAAGGGCTGCCTCCTCGACGGCTTCCCGCGCGCCCCCGACCAGGCCCAGGCCATGGTGGACGCGGGCCTGAAGGTCGAGAAGTTCCTGCTCATCGACGTGCCCGACGAGGAGCTGGTGGTGCGCGGCTGCGGCAGGCGCCTGGACCCGGAGACTGGCGAGATCTACCATCTGAAGTTCAAGCCGCCCCCGGCGGAGGTCGTGGACCGCCTGGTCCACCGCAGCGATGATCAGGAGGAGGCCATCCGTAACAGGCTGAAGATCTACCGCGACCAGGTCAACGGGATCGTGCCCTTCTTCAAGGACTCAGTGGTTTACGTTAGGGGGTGATGGGCTGAGAGTGGGACGCATCGACCCCCAATCGCCCATCGATCGCCGATGCGGGCCCGACAGCCCACCCCGCCCAGGAGCGTCCAGATTCGCGATCCGAGGCTTGTCGCCGATCCTTCGATGATACATCGCCGATTCCAGGTCGATGTCCCCCCCGTGGTGAGCCCCCCCACCCCTGACGTTGCACCTCAAAGGACGTCGTGAGCGAGATCGACGGGACGGGCAAGCCAGACGACGTGTTCGGCCTGGTCGGGGCCTCTCTGGATGCCCTGAAGGACCCGGCGGTGGCGTGAGGACCGCGCAGCGGCGCTGCGGGGCCCCGCCAGGCGATTTCTTCCCGCGCTGCGTCTGAGGCCTTGAGGGTGTGGGTGGAGGTGCCCCTGGCCCAAGGTCCCCCCCTGAGCTCTAGGCCTCCTAGATGAGGCCGGAGTAGATGGGGTCGGAGGATCGCGCCGCATTGCCGATGCATCGACGATGCGGCTCGATGTAGAGCCCGTGTTTCTCCACGCCGACGTCGCCGATGCCTCGCCGACGTCGCCGATGCATCGCCGATGCATCGGCGAACGGCGCGATCCTTCGACCACATCTATTCGGACCCCATCCAGGAGGCCTCTATAAGATGCAGACACAGAGCGACCAGCGGACTCTCGCGGCAGCACTCCAGTGGCACAGGCCAGAGGCGGCCATAGGCATCGAGGAGCGTGCCCGGTGACCGCTCCGCTCGTAATGCAGTAATGCAGATCCTAGTCCAGCCCTGATCCTGCCAGCGTCGCCAGTTCCAGTGGCTCACCAGCCAAGGAGCACGAAGTCATGCAATGAGAATGCTATGTCCCAAGCTTCTCTCAATCCCTGGACGATCTCATTGCGCTGCACGGGTTCCAGACACGCGCGGCGCTGGATTCTCCAGAGGTCTTGGAACGCATCCTCGGCCAAGCGCATATTGGCATCGTTAGCCCCACACCAGCACACCAGGCGCCCCCCCCCATGTGGCCCAACGTTGCCCTGGGGGCTCAAGGCTGTGCGGAAGGCCAGAGGCACCGTGGGCCAGGGGCACTCCTGCTGGCACCCCTGTGCCCTGCCATCCAGCGGCAGGCAGTTTTTCGCTCCATCATCTCACCGTGGAGTTATTGGAGCCGCCACGTGCAGTTTTTCCATTCCGAAAGATTCCTGCTGGTCCTCGTCCTCCCCTCGTTGCCGATCCCGCGTCCCTTCCCTCGCCCTCGTCGCGATGGCTGGATTCGCTTCGACATTCTGGCCAGAACGCACCCCGGGAGACGTGCGCGAAAGAGCGGCATGGTTTTCGTTCTCATCGTCCTCGTTCTGCTCAAACCCGCGTTGATCCCTGGCCGTGCTCATCTGCGGCATCTAGCCTTTCTGTTCTCCTCCCAGCGGTGGCATCGCTGGCTACATGGATCCAGTTCCGAGGAGGGCCAGTTTCGGGGAAACGTAAGGCTCAAGTAAGCCAGAACTCGGGTTCGCCGACGTTTTTTGACGAGCGCGTCCTGGATTTTGACGGTCCTGTTTTCGTTGGATGTTTGCAGCGGGAGTTCCCGTCAAATTTCTGATTGAGTCTCGTCATTTGTATGAGGGCCGTGTCAGGCCAACGCGAGTCCCCCGTACCCGAGTCTTACTTCTCTCCGACAGTTGAGACAACGATAGATGGCCGTCGACGATCTTGTCGTGGCCTCCGGCCAGTGCCGCCGATCCGTGGCGCTCCCGATGGTGCTCGGGTTCGCTTGGAGGCCGTAGGAGGAGGCCTCTTGAGGGGGTCTTTGAGCCTCTTGGGGGGCTTCTTGGAAGTCTCTTTGGCTGTCTTAGGGCGTTCCTCGCTCGGCGGACGCCGTCGGAAGCCGTCTTGGGCGCCTCGCTCTGCCGTCTGGTAGCACGCTGGGGGTGCTTCAGGGCCGTCTTTGAGGCTATCTTGGCCGTCTTGGGGGCCTATGGGGCCGTCTTGGGACTCTCGTGGGGCCAGCTTAGGAGCCTCTTGGCGCTGTCATATGGCCGTCTTGGAGGCCTCTCGGGCGATCTTGGGGGCCTCTTGGGCCATCGGAAGGTCGAACAATACAGCGCCCAAATCCTTCTAATGCATGCAGGAATCCAATGATTGGTCCTCCTCGAGCCTTTTTTGGGATGGCATCTTGGGTGCATCTTGAGCCGTCTGGGAAATTTCTGGCGGTCATCTGAGGCTCTCTGGCCCCTGGGGTTGGAGTTTGGCGGATTAGCGGGGCACAGGCACACACACACACACACACACACACACACCCGTACTTACCTTCCTTCCCCGGGAGAGTCCCCCCCAGCCCCCCCCCCCCTAGCAGAGCTGAAGCTCAGGCTGTCAGCATGCTGTAGCTCAGGATCTTTGAAACTCACACGCTGGATCGGCGGATGTTTTTTTTGATATCGGCGTTTTTCCACTCGTTGTCGGCCTGAGGGCTGGTTATCAGGCCCTTCGGCCATCAAAATTGGACCACAGACGACGAACAGCATTTTGGGCCTCGGATGCGTATCCAATCGGTGGGGACCCTTCCAGGGCTCTGGAACCGTCAACAAACACGACTGATCGGGATGACTTTCAGAGGAGGGCTGGTTGAGACAACGGTAGATTTCCTTCGGGGGGGTCCCTCGTCGCCACAGTTGGACGCAGCTCGGACAATTTGTGCGTTTGGACCCCGGGAGGGATGTAGGAATTTATTTTCAAGTGACATGGTATCAACTCGCCCTGCTCCGACAAAGCTGGACCTGGAGCTCGCAGGAGAGGTGGGTGCGGGGGGGACACAGGATCTTCGCTCCCGCTCGGAAGCCAAGGTTCGGGTCCTGCGAAAGGCAGAGAAATAGAAAGTCATTACACTGATGCTGCGCGATGCGTTCCAGGATGTCCCAGGCTTCCAGGACTTCCTGCTGCTCCACGCCGGCTCCAGAGACCAGAGCCGCTGCGTTGGTGCTCCTGGAATTCCTGAACCCTGCCCCGAACCAGCCGCATCATTGCATCTGCTGCGTGCGGCCACTTTCGGGTCCGCCGCCGGGCGCTCTTCTCGATACATGGGCGCCCCTGGCGCTGGGAAAGCCCAGAGCGTCAGCTGATTCGCTGACCCCCCTTGTCTCGACCGTCCCGACGGGCCACCAGCAGGGGCGCGCGACGGGAGCCGTGCTTCTCGCGTCGCGGACAGGGCCAGAGAGGTGCCCTCCCCGCGCGGGGGCGCCAGGATAACCGCGGCTCGCCCTCTCGCGGCGGCGCGAGGTTAGGTGATCTTGCTGGCCTCATGGTGATGACCCAGAGACGAGGAGGCGGAGATGGGGGATGCAGAAGGTTCAAGCAGCAACTGCGGCAGAGCGAACCAGAAAGCGCTTACAGCGAGGAGGGAGGAGGGGAGGAGTTTCAGAGGAGGAGGATGAGGATGAGGAGGAGGAGGAGTCCGTCCGTGCGCGAAGCCACCAGGAGGAGGAGCAGGAGGAGGAGGAGGAGGAGGAGCAGGAGAAGCAGGAGGAGCAGGAGGAGCAGGAGGAGGAGGACCAGTGTAAACCCAACAATCATCAACGATGTTGGAATAACCCCCCCTCCAAGCTCCCTCTTCATAGGCCCTGACAACTGTTCAGTTCCACTGGGGGAACTGCCTTGTTAGAAGACAACCATTTTGAGACCCTGAAGCATGTCAAAACATTCTTACCGGGACTCCAACGCCACAACTCAACCTGACTGTTGCGTCTTGACGATCCTGAATCGTGCAAGAACGCCACTCCTGGGACTTCGACACCGCGACTCAATGTAACTGTTGCTCCCTCGAAATCCTCAATCTTTCCAAAACAACAAATCTGGTACGCTGACTATTAAAGGCGAAAGCCACGTCTTCAAAACCACCCGCCCTCAACCCGTGAAACTCATGCGATTTTTTTGTGTGCGAGGCGCGAAGGCGAGAGCCACAGTTTGAAACGCAAGCGCCCTCCATCCGTGAAGCTCTTGCAAATGTTCACAACGAATGTGCACGGCGCTAAGGTGAGAGCCACACATTGAAAACCACCCGCACATGTTCAAAACGAATGTGCGTGGCGCTAAGGCGAGAGCCATATTTTAAAAACAACCCGCCCTCAATCCTTGAAACTCTTGCACATGTTGAACAACGAATCTACGCCGCGCTATGCCGAGAGACACATATTGAAAACCACCCGCCCTCTATCTGCGAAACTGGCGCCAATGTTTAAAATTTAGGGTCAGAAGTGGTGATTAAGTCTCAGGCGAAACGCCCGGCCCACACAAACAACCGGCCTCGGGATGCGACAGGAAGAAATGGTTTATAAGGAAAAGAAGGGAGGATTCCAGTAGGGGGAGGAGGAGAAGGAGGAGGAGGAGGAGTGAGGAGGAGAGGAGTCCCGGAGGATGAGGACGACCGTTGCCTGGCGCCCAAGCCAGGGGGGAGGGGTTACGCCGGCTGGGGCCTATAGTCTCCTGAGCAGGAGAATGAGGAGGAGGAGGAGGGGCGGAAGTCGAGCTGGGCAAAAGCCGGACATCGCAAGCTGCTGGTTCCCCACCAATGGCGACTGGAAAGAGAGAGAGAGAGAGAACACCAATGAGAAGCAGAGAGAGGGATATCATACATACACAGAGTGAGAGAAAACACACAACAACAACATCGATCTAAGTATAGACAGAGCGAGGGAGCGAGAGAGAGAGAGAGAGAGAGAACAGAGGACGTGGAGAGGGAGCAGGGGGGGGAGGTCCATATTTTGGCGCAGTGCCCCTCACGTCCCCTTCGTCGCCCCACGCACTCCCCTCGCCCGCGTCCTCGCCTTGGGCCTCGTGCTCGTCCTCATCCCTCCATTCCCACGCCTCCCTCTCCGCCCTCGTCCTGCTCCTCCTCCGTTCCGTCTCCCTCGCCCTCCGCCTCCATCCCCCGTCCCCTCCTCGTCCTCCGCCGTCGCTGCGCTCGCCCCCGTCTCCGCCCACCCTGCTGCCAGTGCTGCACCGCTGCGCCCTGCCTTCGCCGCGCAGCGCCCCCCCGCCCCTGTTGCGGAGAGACGGTTGGGTGGGGTGGCACAGCTTCTGCCCCTCGAGGAAGAGAGTCGGAGATTGATAGAACCCCCCGCACTGCCACGAGAGTCGTCCTCTGTCGCGCCAGCCGCAGTCTTGCGTGCAGCAATTCTGCGGGCCTGCGCCAGCGGGGCCTGGTTTTCAAGGCGTTTCGTTGAGGGGTGTTTTTGACGGCGTTTTCGTTGAAGGGTGTTTGTGCTGAAAGGGATTTCGGCCCTTCCCAGAGACATGACGAATCACCCTGCCTTGGCCCCCTGGCTGAGCGCCCCCTCGGGCCACTGCGACAGCTGCGTCGAAGCCGGGCCGAGTTCTGCTCCTGCCAGCCGCCCCTGCAGGTCTCGCCCCTCGTCTCCGTGTCCAACCGCCTAGCCGCCTACCAGCTCGGGGGTGGACAGAGCCCCCACCCTGACACGTCGATTATCGAAGAAGAAAGAAAACGCCGTAACACACAAACTCGAGGCGCTCCGCGCGGATTTCTTGGATCCGCGCTGGGCCCCCCCCTGGCGGCGCCTCTGGCGCCGCCCCTGGCGCGCTCCGCGCGCCAGGGAGGGGCGTCCAGCGCAGATCCAAGAAATCCGCGCGGAGCGCCAAGAGGTTCTTTTTGTGGAGTTGTTTTGTTCCTTTCCTAGATGAGTGAACTGTCCGTTTTCGGTTCTCGAGAGGGCGCCGCGGCCGTCATTCTTCAAGGCTTGCGCCCGCCAGGTTTGGGCCCGAGGTCGCGTTCACTAAGCCAACTTTTGCTAAAGGGGCCTCTGTCCATTTCCGATGCGCCTAAAGCGCCTATCTGACCCCCTCCAAGGCAGGGGGATCGAGACGACGAAATAAACATAACCTTCTGGAGGGCCGCGCGGATTTCTCTTGTCGGCGGTGGCTCAGCCCGCACCGCCGATGGTGCAGGCCTTTCCTTTCAGAGTTCTGCATACGGTAGGTTTGCGTCGTGTCGACCAGCGGCGACCCCAGCGCGGGCGTTCAAGGTTGAACGCCGCCAGCGACCCAGAATCGATCGATGTTGAACGATCGGACGTTGCGGCAGCGGCCGATCCTTCAAGGTTGAACGATCCCCGCGGTGTCAGGAACCAACGCTGGGGTCGGCACGACACGAACCTGCCGTACGGGGACTGCGTCGACAGCGTTCCGACGGGCCTCCTGCCCGGGCGACTTCAGCGCCCATTTGGGCCCCATGTGCGGCGGCGAGTTCCCCCCGTCGCCTTGCCCCCGGGGCGGCCGCCCCCCGCTGGCAGCGCGGCGCCGGGGGTCCTCGCGTCAGGGCGGGCCTCTTCCCTCAGCCGCCTGCAGGGATCGGCGGGGCGAGTTTTGGCGCCGCGCTCTCCAGCTACATTGGCTTAGTCGATTTTGACGGCCTCCTGCGCTGGGTCAGGCAATCGGGGGGCAGCCTGCCCCCGTTGACCCGCCGGTCCAAGACCGGGGATCCGTCGGTGATTTCGAGCATGGCCCTGACTGTTCAAAGCGAGGGCCATTGGGGGGAGCTGCGGGGGAATCGTCCTCTGGGTCCCCCCCAACGAGGGGACCTTGCGACGCGACGGCCCTTGCTTGGGCGGTTTCGGCGCCTACTCGGGCCTCTGGCGCCGAGGCGTTCCTCTTGCCGCCAGCACGGTTCGGTTGGAGGGGCCGGGGGGCGGCGTGCGTCAACGTCTCGGCTGTCCCCCATTTCAGCGGGCCCCCTCGCGGGGCCGCGCAGCTGGAGGCCGGCGTCGATTTCCACGCTTGTTTCTCGATGTGATCCCCTTGGTGATCTGGGCGGCGAGCCCAGCAGTTATTCGGAAGAGGCTCGCGTCCCCTCTGGGGCGGGGGAACCCCGTGCGGCTGCCGTACCCGGCGCGCGACCTGGGCGCCCGCTGAACCGCTCAAGCGCGCGCCCTTCAGCGCGGAAAGTCTTGTCGAGATGCGCCCCCGCCCCCCCCCCCCCGCGTTCGCTGGCGTCGCCGACGCTTCTCTTGATCAGAAGGGGCGTGGGGCTGCCGGCGCGGCCGGCGTTCCCGCTGCCGCCCCCCATCCACTTTTTCGAGAAGGAGTTGTTCGGGGCCGCCATTCTGATCCCTGCGCGGTCTTCCACCAATGGCGTTGCATTTCCCTGGAGGTAATCTTGTTATCACTGCGTCTCATCTCATCGGGGCCGGAGAGCGCAACCAGCGCATGTCGATATGCCCCGGCGTTTTTTCCGATGAGTCTGGCCGATCCTCGGGCTGTCACCGGCGATTGGAACATGGCGCCTTCGAGCTTCGAGTGTGGTGGCCCGCCCAATGTCGAGGAGATCCATTGGTTCCTGCTGATGTCCAGGTGTCATTTGCCACAAGGCTGAACCAGTTCGCCCATTGAATACGTGGGCAAAGTCAGGCACGTATCATAATTATCAGTTTAAGGTTATGCCGCAGCGCCTTGCACTGCCCGCGCTGGGCTTCGCGGCGCGCGCATTCCTTTCCGCGCCAGTAGACGGAGAACTTGTAATTTGTTTATTGCCACGCACTGCGGAGGTATAACCACGCTGACGCTATCCGACGACCTCTGCGTGGGCATCGGGCATTTCGGCCCTCTGGGGCTCCGCAGTTGCTTGGCAGCAGCGCCCCCAGGGCCGCGCTCGCCAGGCCCCTCCCGGACGAGAGCGCGCGCCTGCGTGGAGTCTCGGCGGCGACTGCTTTCTTCGACTTCGAGACATTCTATGACTCTGTCTCTTGGGTTCTCTTGAGCAGAGCTGATTTCGGCGTCGGTTATCCTGCGCACGTAGCGCGTCTTGAGACTCAGCTGCGCGAGGCCCCGCGCATCCGCGTGGAGCGCGCGGCGCCCCAGAGGCGGTTCGCGCAACTCGGTCTTCAGCGGCTGGATCGCCCCGCGGCAACGTTGCTCCTCCGCCCTCTCTCGCAGACAGCGCAAACGCGGGCGGAGTCCGCCGCGTTCTGGACGTTCACTGATGCCGTGGCGTTGCGCGCCGCGGGCTCCGAGAAGGACGCGGAGTTGGCAGCGGCATCGCCCGGTAAGTCTGTCTAAAGCATGGATGTTTTCGCGTCTCTCGGTTCAGATATGACGGCGGTAGTCGCGGCCCCTTCCAATGATTGGTCGCCGAGTAGGTGCCCGACTTCGCGAAGCCCGCTTTCCTGCGCGGGCGCGCCTCGAAGCTGTCGACCAGGGAGTTGATGCATTTGGTGGGCGAAAGCGCTCCGCGGGCAAATCTACTTGGGAAGTCGCTGTAGCTACGCGGCGCGCCGGTAGGTTTCACGTGCCCGGGAGACGCGCCAGCTGGACCCTGGACACAGGCCGCGCGCGGCCATCAAGCGCCGGGCGCGCGCCATTGACGCCGTCGAATGCTTCCGCGAGGCGGAGGATCACAATCGCTAGCGCACGGTTGAATCATTCAATCTCACTGCAGCGCGCCATGTCTCACGCACAAGTACGAGAAGGGAACCGGGCTTTCTGCGAATCAGCCGCCCGCGCAGCCGGGCACGCGGCGGGGGGCGGCCAGGGTGAACTGCTGACGCCCGTCCGCCTAGTGACCCGAGCAAGCCGGGCCGAGGCGACATCTGCTGCGCGGCTCTCAACCCGACTTGCCATCCGCCTGGCCCGCCCTCCTCCGCGTCTTCATCTTCCTCTCGCCCTCCCCGCGCCCGCGCTCTCAGGGCCGACCTCGATGCCCTTTGTTTCTTCGGCGTCTGGTTGAACTGGAATGGAATTTCTATAGTGTGTCCTTCTGGCCGTGACTTGGCGCATTGGGCGTCAGTTCGTGGCGCGCGCTTGGTTTTTGCGATTGTCCTCTTCTGCGTTACTGGGTAGTGCAAACAGCAAGTTCCCGCTGTTCTGGGGGTTCGGCGCGCGGGGATCCCCCGCGTCTGCGGTCGCGGGGGCGCGGGCGTGGAGGCGGGGCGACAGTCGAAATTGTTCGAGCGACCCTCGACGGACGCTGGGTCTTGTTGCAGCAGCCTTTTTTTTCTTCTTCTTCTCTGGGGGCGTGTTTCTTTTCTTCTCGAGCGCGGCGCGCGTTGTTTTCGAAGTAGCTCGACTCCTCACCCAAGCCCCGCGGGGCCAGCGCTGCCCTCCCTTCGGGCTGCTCTCTGCTGCTGAGTTGCACCGTGGGGCAATATTCTCGGCTTGCAAACTTGTGAACGATCCGTTTCCAAGACAAGAGTGCCGGGCGCGCGTCGCGCCCGTTGCGGCGGCTTCGGCGCGGCGCGGCTGCTTCGGGCAAGGTCGTAACCTCACAGCGACGTGGTGCGTCTCGTTTGGCAAGAGAGATTCGCCCTTGGCACTTCTTGGTTTCTAGAGTATTTGGCAATTTTGCAGCAACGGCCTTCCCATTACAGGCGCATTGAGCGCCCTTGTTCTATGGCTTCCACGCTTGCGTCCGCAGCTAGCTCTTCTAAGTGCGGCGGTTGGCCAGGGGTCAGTTTTTAGCGGCGTTCGCCGCTTTGTTGGGCGCATGCGCCCATGGATGAAGGCGGGCCGCGCCATCGCGAGCGCGCGCTTGGGCGATCCCCGCGCCTTCTCTCGCTGAGCGCGCCGGCTGCGAGATGGTTTGGGAGAGATTCTTGTCGACTTGACTCAGGACTTCGAAGCGCGGATCAGGGCTCCTGCTTCTTTGCGCGTCGATGGCGCGGCGGAGTCGCTGCGCTGGTCATCTGGCGAGTTCCAGGCTCCAAGGAGTAGGGGGCGGTTTGGGGAAAACGCGTGTGTTGGCGGGCCAGCCTCAGAGCGCCCCCCGCGCCGAGCTGCTAGCGTTGCGCTTGCGCGTGGAAGGCCCGAGTGGTCCAGTGACTTCCGTCATGGCCAGAATCATGTCATCTCAGGTTGGGAGAGTGGGCGGGCCAGCTCGACGAGGGGGCGGAATTGGGATTCCCTTGGCTCCGAGTCCAGACGGCCCTGAAAAATGGAGGCCGTGGGCCAGTCACCTGGGAATTCACTGAGTCTCCAATGGCGCTGGGCGGTCCAAGGGTTGGGGCGCAGAACATTCGTTTGTTGACGTTGCTGCAGGTGGCGACGCGGCTCTAAGTTGGCGGCTCGCACCGACGTCCGAACCCCAAACCGAATGTGGGATGCGCAGAGCTTTCTGTGGCGTCGTGTTCGGCGGGCCCTGGTGGATTCGCGCTCGGCCGACCCAAAAAGGGCCCGCCCCGATGGCGCCCCTGCGGGGCGGGCTCGAAGGCGTTCCGCGCTCGGCCAGGCGAATCGTGGTAGTGCCCATAATTTCGTCGCCCACGGCTAGAGTTTCCTCTGCGGCTTGTGCGAATCATTTTCCGATAGAGATGTTTTGCTCGCTTTTCGCGGGTCGCCCTTGCATCCTGCGGTTGGCGAAGATTCTTTATTTGCCGATGTGGTGCGCCGCGGTAGCGGTCCTGTCTTCGTGGGGGCTGCGTTTTCGCATCCTTCCCACAAGTTGGCTTCTCACAGTTTTTTCTGTTTGCCAGCGTTGCGGCCGCGCGGCCATCTCAATAGGCAGGCAGCTGGTGGGCCCGTGCGAGGTTCCCGCGAAGGCGTGTTTGCAGAATCTCGGCGGACTTCAGAAGGGGATTGTTCCGCCCTTCGTTGGCCCTTCGAAGCTTCCCGCCAGCCTCCACGAGATCCGGACTCGGACCTCGGCGGTGCAGCGGTCGCGCCATCCCAGGCTTGCGCCTCGGATGGTTGTTCGGCCGCGGCTTGTTTCGGGTAGCGCCTCCGCCGCGGCAGCCCCGGCCATGCGCGGGGCCCCCTCCTCCCCTTGCGGGTCGCGGGGAGGAGAGGGCCAGGGAATGCCCGCACCCCTGTTCACGGACGGGCGGCGTGGGGGGCTGGCCCTGCCGTTTTTCTATTTCGCTCTTTGTCTCGTGCGCGGTGTGCTTGCCAAAAGGTTCCAAACCTCTCGCTCCCACTCCTCCCTCCCTCCCTCCCTCCCTCCCTCCCTCCTTCCATGTCTCCTTCCTCTGTCCTCTCTCCTCCCTCTCTCCTCCCTCCCCCTCTCCACCCTTCCTCCCTCCCTCCCTCCTTCCCTTTGTCCTTCCTCTCTCCTCCCTCCTTCCTCTTTCCTCCTTCCCCCCTCCCTCCTCCCCCCCCCCCCCGCGACGGAAGACGGATGGAGGGCCCCCCCCGCAGGCGGACCTCCGGAGGGCGCGTGGCGGTGGGGCGTGCGCGGAGGCGGCGGCGCCCGCCGACGGGCCCGCGCGGGAACCCTGAGAAAGGAACTCCGCGCCGCGCCGCGCCTCTCCGTCCCATGGGCGTGCGGGGGGGGGGTGATCGTGGGCGCCAAAATAGGGTGACCACACCGTGTGGTGACTCGGTGGGGATTTGGGGTCACCGCATGGTTTTGGGATTCCTCTCGGGCGACTGGAGCCTCCAGGGACCCAAAAACGTGTGGTGACGGACCGTGCGGACAGCTTTGCGGATTCGATCGAGGTCACCGCACCACACGGTTCTGGGACCCCCAATCGGAGCAGTTTGTCGGGAGCGGCCTGGAGGGGGGGTGATGACGGGGGGGCGATACAATGGCGCGGCCCACAAGATCCCCCCAGATCTCATGGCGCGTCTTTCCAATGGGAGCAAGCGATTAACAGAATACCTCCCCCCGCGGGCCTCCAAATAATAGAGAAGGGCAAGCGAATAAAAATCCATCCGCCGCAGGTGATTTTTTTAATCGTGTGCCCCCCCCATTTTGTCGCCGTCGTCGTCGCCTACGGCGTACGCCGGGCATACGCAGCCCGCCCCCCCCCCCATGGGGCATCCGCAGTGCGCGCAGTGCGTCGTCGCCCGTCGTCGACGTCCTCGCCCTCGTTCTCATCCTCGTCGTCGTCGTCATCGTCGTCGTTGCTGTCGTCGATCACAGCAGGCCTACGCAGCACGGTCGCGCGTCGTCGTCGTCGTCGTCACCATCGTTGTCTGTCGTCGTCCTCGTCCTCGTCCTCGTCCTGAACCTCATCCACGTCGTCGTCGTGTCGTCGCCGTCGTCGTCGTCGGTCGCTGTCGTCATCGTCGGTCGTCGGTGGCGTCGTCGTCGTCGTCGGTGTCGCCGCCGTCGTCGTCGCCGTCATCGTCGTCGCCGCCGTCGTCGTCGTCGCCGCCGTCGTCGTCGTTCGCTATAGCAAGTCTGTGCAGCCCCCCCCCCCATAGAGCATCCGCAGCTGTCGTCGTCGACTACAGCGGACGTACGCAGCACCCCCTCCCACCCCAAAGGGCATCCGCAGTGCGTCGTCGTCGTCGTCAGCGTCGTCGCCGTCGTCGTCCGTCGTCGCCGTCCTCGTCCTCATCCTCGGCCTCGTCCTCGTCGTCGTCGTCGTTGTCGTCGTCTTCGTCGTCGTCCTTTTGGTCGGCGCAATCGCCCTCGCGAACAACCGCGGCGACTAGGAGGAGTCAGAGGAGGAGGAGGAGGAGGAGGAGGAAGAGGAGGAGGAGGAAGCGGAGGAGGAGGAGGGGGAGAAGGAGGAGGAGGAGGAGGAGGAGGAGGAGGAGGAGGAGGAGGAGGTGTGGGGAGGAGGAAGTCGAAACATCCTTTGCCTCAAGGGTATGGTTCGCAAACGTTTGGCAGCTTCGTGAGCCCCCCCCTGGCCCCCCAGACAGCCCGGGATTGTCCGCCCTCCGTCCGTCCGCTCTCCCCCTCCCCTATTGTGGGGGCAGCCAGGCGGGCGACATTTTTTGCTTGATCGTCCGCACCACAGTTTTGTTTCAATCGTTTGCTCGCATTGCCTCAATACGTCCCCTGGCACCCCCCTGGGCCGCGCACGTGCCGCCAGCCATGATTTGCGTCCCCCCTTCTTGGACGCCGCCCTTTTGGACGCCCCCGAGCCTGGCTCCGGCCAGCGGGAAGGGCGGGCAATTTCGGGGTTCTTGGTTCGACGAGGTTTTTCCACTTGAGTCAGTGGGGGATGGTGGGGAGAGGGGAGGTTGATCGTGGGTGACAGGAGGAGGAAGGACGAGAGAAGCGGATAAGGATAATGGATAATCCGGGATGGAGGGCAGGGATGAGAGGGGGCAAGGGAAAGGGCCATCAGAGAATAAGAGAAGCGAGGCATCTAGATTCCCCAAATGTTGCCACTACTATTACACACGTGTTTTTCCTACCATCGGCTTTTGGGGAGGAGCAAGAGTAGGAGCAGGAGGAAGAGGAGGAGCAGGAGGAGCAAGAGGGTGAGAGGAAACGAAGAGGATGAGGAGGAGGAGTAGGATGGCGGGCGCGATAGCGCGCCACATCGCCATCCGCGGATGGCTTGTGCGCTGGCTCAAGCAGCGCGTAGCGAGAGGCGTGGACACCGAGCAGTTCGTCCCAGCTTGGGACAGGGCCCGCCCCCAAGAAGGCTCGAGAGGCCACCAAGAGGGTCCGCGGGCACCGAGGACGCGGAAGGAGGAGGAACAGCAGACAAAATAGGGAGAAGAGGACCTGAAGAGCGGAGGAGGAGGAGGAGAAGGAGGAGCAGGAGGGGGAGGAGAAGAGGAAGAGGAGAAGGTGGAGGAGGAGGAGGAGAAAGGTCTATGCCGAGGCCCACTTGTGGGCCCGCCGGCTCTGCCCCCTCCGCCCTCGTCCGCCCCGCGCCCCGCGCGCAGCGAGGTCTCCGCAGCGCCGCCTGGAGGCACATGTGCAGCCGGTCCCCAGGCCGCTACGGCACTCGCCCCTGTCTCCTTGCAGTCGTCGTCATTTTCGCCGTCCTCCACCTCCTCTGCCCGCCTCCCGTGTTCGTCTCCGCCCCCTCGTCCGTCCTCCCATTGCTCCGCATCCCTTTTCTCCGCCTCCTCTTCCCCCCCTCGTTCTCCACCTCGTCCTCCTTTTCCTGTTCCTTCTCCTCCTCTCCAGTTCTTCTTCGCACCCCTCCCCGTTCACATTGCCAGTGCTCTGGCGAGTGGAACTGCTCCCATCTTTCTCCTTCTTATATTCCTTATCTCGCACAGTGCATTTCTCTTGACCCTCGGGCCGGAGGAGAAAGCACAAGAGGAAGACGGGAAGAGGAACATTAGTGAGGATGTAGAGGAGGAGGAGGAGGAGGAGGAGGAGGAGGAGGAGGAGGAGGAGGAGGAGGTGGGGGGTGGCCCCCATGCATGCACACCCCACCACGCTCCCGCAGGGCTTCCCGTGACGAGAACCGAGACGCTAGGTTTGCTTCCCTCCTCTTCTTCCGCTCGCGCCACCCTCAACAGTCCTCCGTGCCTCCGTGAAGAGTCTTGCTGCCTTTCGAATGTGCTTGGAAGCCTTGACGGTTGTTCGGCAAATCATTATTGGCATGAGTTTGTGATTTCATATGTGTATAATAACATCCAGTCTTCGCTCGTTCCCTTCTTTTTTGTTCCTCCCTTTCCCTCATTCTTGTTATCTCCACTCTCGCCTTTCATTTCTCACTGACGTGGTCCGCTCTCTCCTTCCTTTCACTGCCACTGCCACTGTGCAAGAGGCTGACGCCGTTCCGCCGACCCCGCAAGGCGAGCAGAGACGTGGCGGTTTTCTGGAGGGGTTGCGTCTGGGTTGTGTTCCGTAAGCTTCGGTGCAATTTCTTGGGGTCTCTGGGTGGGGCCCGTAGGGGCCATCTCGAGTATACCGTTGATTGTTCGTAGAGGGGATAAAGAGAAAGGGAGCTTTTGGGAGTCCTCGTCGGGGTGATCGTGGGGAACGCTGCGGCCCCAAAGTGGGCGATGCCGTCGCAGGGGGAGATCCATCGACGTGAATTGCGAGGCTGTCGTATAATATTTCGTTCGGGGAGCCGTTTCGTGCGGGCCATCTCCCCCGCCTTTGTGCTCACTACCATCGTCTCCACCAGCAGCTCCAGCCTTTCTGGCGCCAAAGCTATCGGACCGCAATCATCATGTCCAGCATCAACACGCAATCACAACATCCAAAGTGCGCGTGTAATTTTCATAGTGGCTCGACACACACAGGCACCGCGCGACGCCCAGTGTCAAGGGTAAGAGAGAACTAGCCGTGACATAGAGGACGTCCTTTGATCTGCTTAGCGCGGCGTTTTCAGGGTTTGTGCCGAGGCGCAGCATTTGCTTGGTCTTCGATCCTGTTGTCTTGCCCTGCCCATGCTAGTGTGCGATCAACGGTTCAGCGTGTTCCCCATCGGCCAAATTTGGGGCCCCTGAATGGTGGGTTGACTTTCGGGCAGAGTTCGAGGGTCCGTCCCCGTCTGAGCCCCGAGCCCTGCCGAGTCTCCCTGGCAGGCCGAAACGAAAGAATCGCACATGGCAGCCGATGGCGGGGAGGTCTCGTTCAAACAAAAAGGCACGCTGCACGCGATGCCCATCTCGAGTCAAAAGCATGCCCTGCATCCTTCACTCTCCTTCGCTCTCCATGCTTCCATCTCCCCCCTGCCTGACACTTCTCTTATATCTCCTCCGTCATTCCTCTCTCCTCCCTCGTCCCTCCTTTTTTCTGCCTCCTCCCTCCATCTCTTATGCGCAGATTCGAGCCTGGGCCGCCCGAGCTCTTTGCACAGGTTCCGTGCACCTGCGTTCTCCCATCTCCGAGTTCCTTCGGCTTCTCAGGTTCAATCAGGTAATTGCACGATCTTGTGCCGTATTGTGCTGCATGTAATGTGTGTCGAGATGTGTTCCGCAATGCTTTGTGTTAGATTGCTCTGACTTGCGTTATATTGGCGTGGTTTGTATGTATTAGCGTATGCGATGCTTGATATTTGCTTAACTTGCTGCGCATTATTGCCATCGCGTATGTTTTCCATGGCAACGCGTTGCATTGTTTTGCCGTTGCAATGTGTTTCATTCCTTGTATTGGATTGTCTTGCGTTGCATTGCTTCGCATTGACATTGCACGGGTAAACGAGTGCTGATAACACTGTCTCTGTTCTGCCCGCGCTCCTGCCGCTGTCTCAACTTTCCGCACATGTGTGGGCACGTGCACGCGTGCGATGGTGAGTTTGGCGAGGGCCGGGGCTGCTGGAGCATGGGCGCGCGAAGGTTCGAGTCTTCTTTCGTGAGTCTGCGTGCACGTGCCGTGAAGATGCATGCGGCAAGCCGCGCCAGCGCAGCAGCGCAGCAAGAGGGAGGCTGCGGTGCAGACGCACGTCGGGGCCTCCCTCGGGCCCCTTGAGCCTTGGCGACGGGGAGGGGGGATCGGTAGCAGTACCCTTCCCTCCCCCCTGGACCCAGGAGTCTAAAGACAGCCCCCAGAAGCCTCAAGACAGCCCCAAGAGGAGCCCCAGAAGGAACATGACTCGCTCGTTGTCTGGACTTCGGGCCATACTTCGGGTCTCCGCTGACCAGTCGGGCCGATCCTGGCACCCCAGGCGCGCACTTGGCGAGGCGCGGCCGCTGGAAGGCATCCTGGGGCCAGAGGAACACCGCCGAGCACCGACGAAGACCACTGGTATGTCTCCATCCTCCGAGCTCGGGGCGCGCGTGACGGGGTTCAGCGCAAACGGGGTCAGCCAGAGCGCCAGGTCGTGCAGGGTCGTGCAATGAGAGCCGCTCGCGGCAGTGGAGGTGGCCTCACGAATTGGCTGTGCCGGCCGGGGTTGGAAAAGCATTGCAGCGCATATCTTCTGAATTGGCCGAGCTGGGCTTGCGCTGAGTATGGTGAATCCACGCCCGATGAGCCTTGAGACTGTTTTTAGAAGGTCTGGAGATAACTCGGGTTGTCGGACACGCCCCCCCCCTGGATCACCTGACCTTGCCGGTTGCGCAGGTCCGAAGGGGGTACGCAATATTGGTGCGCGCGGGCATATATGGGGCTGCCCAAGTCGAAAAGGTTTCGTTATCGGCCAGCACCTTCCCCCCCCGCCCCACCGGGTAACCCAGGTCATCGCAGGAATATAAAACCATTCTCTCTTTCTAAGTTGGTTGAGTTGGGTTTGCATTGGGCCTGCTTAGTCCGTCTGCCCGATGCGTTTTCTTTTACAACAAAGCCTAAGTCACTCGTGAGGTGCCAAGGCTCCTCGTGACGGCCGCGCACGAGAGGACAATATTTGAGCCAACGCCTGAACGGCCTCGTCCATGGCGATGGCTTCTGCTAGAAATGAAGATACAGGGTCAGACATAAACGTTCCAGCCTGAATTACAAAGGACCGCGTTGTGCTCTGACCACAGACAGTAACAGCTTCGATGCACCACGCGGCCGCGGAGCACTGCCCGGCGCGAGTACCACCGTCAGAATGCACGAGAAAATTCGCAGCACAGGACAGCTCGGCACTGTCAGGGAAAGTTTTCGCCAAAGACTTGCGTTCGTCCATGGTGTGGTTGACTAAATGGTCGGCGATTGTATTATAAGCGCGCGGCCGCCAAACTACGGCATCATCTATATCCCTAGCCGGCTTCCACCCCCGTTCCAACAGTGAGAAAATGTTGTGTGTTATTCGGCTCAGGATTAGCTCGAGGCTTCCGTTGGTCAGAACGGTAAAGCCGTTCACCACTGCTGACAAAGGCTGGCAATCTGTAACAAAAGCAAACCGCCCAGGCACGCTCTCCCATGGTATTTCTGGGGCGCCGCCCCCATGAGAGATAGGCAACAACTCCAGGGGATACGCTGCGGTCCTCTGGCGTTTCGCCCGTACGCGGCTTTCCTGGTCTGTCGCCAGCGCCTGCTCCGAAATAGTGAAAAGCCCCCACACTCCGCAAATATTCTTCTCAAATTCGGGGTACAAGGACATCCGTTCACCCATCGTTGAACAGGCGTCGCGTTTCTCGCGCCACTGCTCCCCGTAAGCTTGTACTAACACGTCTTCCCATTCAACGCGGTGGCCATACCCTGAATGGACGATGCCCTCCTTCCGTCTACGTTTCCGGCTGCATACGTGCTTGGCTGTCTCCCACCACAATCGGCTCCTGGCTTGCCTTGCAGTAGACAAGAAGTTGTTCGCACCGTCGTGAGGGGCGAGATGTTGCTCCCGCCATGCCGCCTTGAAGACATCCTGGAGCACTCGAAGATGAAGGGGGCGAGAACCGGTCACGCGAAACCACCGCTCCAACAGTCGAACCGTGCGAATCATGAACGCAGCTTGCCCCTCTCCCGGCCTGCGGCGGAATCCGAACATTTTCCGGAGAAATGAAAATTTCCATCGTCGCAGTCGCTGCATTACGTTTTGGGCTAGATGCCACGTCGACGACCCGTGAGCCGCACTGGCTGCCGGACCAGTGGACCACGCTTTCATGTTTGACGCTAGAGAGCCCTTCGCCTTGTACGTGCCAGCGTTGCTCCAATACTTCCCCTCAGCCTTGCCCAGACGATGCTCGACACTGGTAATGGTGTCCCCCTCCTGGCTAAGCATGACTCCCAGGACCTCCATGGTGTCGACAATCTGGTAAGCCTGCTTGTCAGTTGCCTTCACGACGGGCGCCTCCGAAAGCACGCCGCGCATCGTCCCACACGCCATGCATGTAAGGGAGGACGCCTTCCATCGGAAGCCCATGTTCGAGATAGTATCGGTAAACTCCTGAGCCATACACGTAAACTCCGCAATAGAACATGCTAGTAGATATATGTTGTCCGCCCAAATCAAGTGAGTGATGTATTGGCGGGTGTCCGGGCCCAAGCAGAATCCTCTGCCCTCAGCTGCCCATTTGGACTGTAAGTCAGCGCAGGCCCACTCGAGCATCATATTAAATACTGCCGGAGTCTCCGGGCCACCTTGTTTCCCCCCCCGCTCCAAGTCGAAGCGGCAGGAAGGCTCCGAGCCCGGTAACTCCATGGAGCATTTCATGCCCGACACCTCCCTGAGAAGAGCCGCTGCCAGGTCATGAGGAACGCCTCGGCCGATCATGGCCTCGAACATCTTCTCGTGGCTCATGGTATCGAAAGCTATCTCGATATCCTCAGAACCTAAGATCAACGGCATACCCCACCGACTTGCTAGAAATACGCACTGTCGAATGATCGATACCACATCACTACACGCATATCCGGCTCGAAACCCAAACGTAGCAATTGGGGAGGGCAGGAGAGACCTCTTGACCGATGGTTGCAACGATTGAACATACCACTTCAAGGCAACATCCAGCTTGCCAAGCCACCGAAAATCTCCTAATGTATCTGGCGCTGCAGTTTTCGGAATCCCACTTCCAACTGGGGGGGTCGACGGAATGTAGATATTTGAATCGGTGTTGGAATAATTGCCAATACCGGTACACGCACATCAGCGGTAACGCCTTGTACATCTCGGGTGGTTCCCCGCCGTTGCCTGGTGATGTGCAGCCTTTCAGTTTCGCTCGGGCCGTGAGCAAATCAAAAGGCTTGATGCCTGGATGCGCACGTCCATCCATGCGGTCGTTACAACGCACCTGCGACAAAACAGCGAAGCCGGTATTCCCGAGTAGCTGCAGAATTGCTTCCATCACTGAATCTCTGGTTGCCGAATTCCCACAGAGCCTGTTTCCACACGTCCCGGTCCGCCGTGCGGGTCCCATTGATATTCAATGTCACTGGGAGTTTCGAAGGACCGCCACACCTCGAGATCTGCTGCAGACGTCGCTCGTTCCGCTGACGCTTGGCCTTGCGAATGAGTCTCCGTAGCTCTCGAGCTCGCTCTCGCCTTTCATCCTGCGCCGCCGTGGCAACAGATTTCCGCGCCATCTGGACCGCACTGTTGATGGCATTGATTTCTCGTCTATCCCGTTGCCCTGCCGTGTGAAACCGAATTCCGATCCCAGCCTCCTTTAACGCAGTCTGGAGTTCGGGCAGGTCGTAATCTAAAGAATCCACTGCAAGCTGCTTAAACATGTCCATGTTTTGTTCATCGACGGGTTTCCAACCTCTGAACGATCGATGCAAGCTCAATTGGATGTTGCCTGGCGACGCGTTCAACACGTCTGCCCACACAGGCCTATGATCCGATCTTGTGAATATCCTGTGGTGGGGACGCGCCACCCACGCACGGCCCTGTATCGAAGATGTGGTACCAATGTAGTCGATCTGCGACTTGTGCGTCCTATCGTCGCCTCTGTGTGTCCAGAGACGTTTCGTGTCCTGGGCCCGTTCCTCTACCAGCTGAGGCGTCCAGAAAGTATTCAGCAACGAGATATCCAAAGCTTCCAGCCAAGAGCCCACAGCTATGACCTTTGCCTGTGTATGTGTCCTCCGCCGTTCCAGCACCGCGTCTCCAGTAAGAGAGCCCCAAAATGCCGGGAACTGGACATCAGCGTCCACCCCAATCAAGATCTCAAATGACATCGAAGAGTACTCATCGCGAACTCGTTGTACAAACCTGGACGTCTTTTCAAACACCCGGGCAGCACGCCCATCCTCTTCGAGATGGTCCAAAATGTGAGTTGAGATATAAATTGAATTCGAAATAACCGCACCATACCAATAGGCTCCAGAGTCAGTCTTCCTAAGCGCTCGCATCCCAAGTCTAGGAATAATAAGTGCGCAGTCACAATTCTCTGCAGACAAAACGGTATGGGCAGAATATGTATATCCATGCAAAACCGACCATGCCGGAACTTCCTGTAAAAATGCAACAAAGTCCCCCTCTGCATACAGTCGAAACTGCTTGCAGATCTTCTTTGCTGCGCTCGTCCCCTTTTTACAAGTGTTCCAAGACACAGTCGTGACCCTCCCCATGGCAAACCCAGAGGGTGCTCACGCGGACCGGAAGGCCCGCATCTCCGCACTCAGCGCTCCGGCGTTGCATTGAAAATCCATCTGGATCGCCGCCTCGTCCCATTGCATCGCCCCTTTCTCGTCCACCGCCCCCATGGTCACCTCCCCTGCCGCCGTTTTCACAGAAATGCGAAACTCCGGAGGGCCAGAATGGAACACCTGGGCCGAAGGGTCCTTCGCCTTCGCCTTCACGTCCAAGAACGCCCTCGCCTTGCCACCAGCCTCGAATCGACGCTGTTCCGAAGGCTCCTTCTGGACAGTGGTGAACAGCACGTTGTTGTTGAAGTTGCAGTTGTTCGCAGGGTCCTGCAAAGCATCCTTGAAGAGCACCGCGACCTCCGTGGCGTAAGGAGGGGTCACGTGGACAATCACCTTGTGGACCCGCTTCCCTCTGAGCTCGATGTCGCCCACCTTGTCCTGAACCGCTGGCGGCAAACCACTCTTCAGACGTGCTACAAGTGGTTCGGCCTGCTCCCTCGAGATGCCCATGCTCTTCTGGTCTTTCCACTCACAGAATCCCCGAATATCGAAGTAGGAAGGGATGAACGAGGTACAAGTGCCTGAAGAGATCGTTGCCTCGAGCTTGCTGATGCGCTCGTCAGCCTGCTTCTGTCCCCCCTCGACCTTCGTCACCCTCTCCGTGGTTGCTTGGATATCCGCCTTCAATTCTGTGCGCAAGGCCCCAACTGCTGCGTCCGTATGGCTGTTGATCCCGTTCTGCATCTGAACAGCCCACGCTGGCATGCCCTCCGCACCGGACATCGCTAGAGACAGAAATGAAGAACTCGAAAAGTATTGAATTGCAGTGATCGGCAATGTAAAAGTGCGCGAAGGTGTGAAACGGGGGCCTTCTTGGGCCTTCTGGGGCTTGAGCCAAAACTCCAGAACGACAACGCCTCCGTTCGTTGTTTGTTCATGGGGGCCTTGGGCGGCGACATTGGCACCAGTTCTTCCTACATTTAGACCGTGTTTGGACCGCATTTGGCCCTTTCTCCTGCTCCTCCTCGCCACTCTCACTATCTCTCCCCCTCCTCGTTTTTCTCGCCTCTGAAGGGACGAATATGATCCAAATCTGGCTCCAAATTTGTTCCAAATCCGGTCCAAAATCAGGCCCAACTCTGACAGTGCCGGGGGCCGCGTAGGCTCCGATGGAACAGACACCAAAGCCGTTGCTGACCAGCCACGGAAACAGCGATCGGGGAAACGTAAGACTCTAGGTCAGGGCGCGAGCTAAACCTGTGTTTTGGCGATTTCATGGGCCGTTTTCATTTAAATCTCGCTCTGCAGCAACGGTGGCACATGGACAGAGCGAGGAAACGAACACAAAAGAAAAACGGACAACGCAGTCACCAGACCACATCAAACCATAGCCCCGCTCACGGCCGCGAGCTGCCCTGGGCGGCGGGAGGCAAGCGTACCGCTCCCGGCACGATTGCGTGGCACGGAGTGGAGCGGGTCGCGAGCGAAGCCCCTGGCAGTCCCTGTGCAAGCTCACGGGGCAACCCTGTCTAGACAGCCCTCCTTCACCGAGCGCGATGCACGACTCGCAAAGCGCCTACTCGCAAGCGTTCGAAGAACACAGATTCATTGTGGATCGTAGATCCCCGTGGCGGCTCCAGGCCATCTGTGAGTAGTTATTTGGAGAGTAGTGGAGCGCGCTTGTCTACTCCTTGGCTCCTCCCACAGCGCCAAAGGGTCGGTGATCGCGTCTCCCTCCACGCTTGCTCCTCCCTTTCCCGCGCTCCCCTCGCTCCCGCTCTCCCCCGCCCTCGGCACACGTCTCCCTCCACGTGCGCTCGCTCCCCCTCCCGCGCCTGCCCCGTCCTCCCCCGCCCTCCCCCCCGGGAGCCCAGGCCCGCCTCCCACGGCGGGATGTCCCTGGCCCAGGGCCACGCCTCCGCCCCCAGCGGAGGCAGCCGGCGCCTCTGCAAGGACCGGCGCGCCGCGCCCCGGGGGCCTCGCAGGGGAAGTGCGAATATAGTGCTTCAGTCGCAGCTCTGGCAGCAGACCGGTCTCAGATGTCTGGGCGCTGTTCGGGAGCCTTGAGACGGGGGTCAATACAGACGGGGGTCAGCCAGGGCGCCAGATCCTGCAGGATCCTGCGAAGACCCCCTCTGGCTGAGCCGGGTTAGGGAGCCGCTCGTGGCCGCGAGGCGGCCGCGCGTATTGGCTGACCTGGGTCTGCGAAGACCTGCGGTGCAGTTTTTTTCTCCTGCATTGCAGTTTTTGGTTTCCTGCTGACCCGGGTCTGGATTGACCCGGGTCAGAAGATCCCCGAGCTGTAGGCGAGTGCTCCTGATCCTTTCCTGTGAAACCGTGCGCTTTCTAGCCCCGCAGTTTACCTACAGCGCGAATGAAGCAGAGAAAACCAGCACCTCGCAACAAAATGGGGGGGGGGGGGGGCGGCCCGCGAAGGCGCCTCGGGCTGGGAGGAGGAGGAGGAGGAGCTCCCCCCTGCTCTGGCGGCGCGCACGAAGGGCCTTCTGAGGAGGGGGCGTGCTTCCTGGAAGGCACGGGGGGGGAGGGGCGAGGGGGGGGGCTTTCTGAGAAGGGGGCGTGCTTCTTAGAAGGCATGGGCCTTTTCTGAGACCCCTGGGGGCTTTCATGAAGGCTCCTGAAAGGCCGGGAGGGCTCCTAAGGAGGCCACTGCCTTCTTGGAAGCCCCCACCCCCGTCTTCTTAGACGGCTGCCCCCCTTGCGCAAGTCTTCGCGCGCGCCGCCAAGCCCAGACCGCGACCTTGGCCTCGTGTTTCGCGTGTTCTTGAGTGTTGCCAGAGGTGTCCCTGGCCCAAGGTGTTCCCATGGGAGGAGACGGAGGAGGAGGAGGAGGAGGAGGAGGAGGAGGAGGAGGAGGAGGAGGAGGAGGAGGAGGAGGAGGAGGAGGAGGGAGGAGGGAGGAGGGAGGAGGGAGGAGGAGGAGGGAGGAGGAGGAGGGAGGAGGAGGGAGGAGGAGGGAGGAGGAGGGAGGAGGAGGACGTGTTCCCAGGTTCATCAAGGAGGCCCCCGCGCCCTTCACCAGGCCCAGTGGGCCGAGGTTCTGCAAGCGCAAAAGGGAGGAGGGACGGAGGAGTGATTCAGAGTGAGGGGGGCAGGGAGGAGGAGTGAGGGATTCAGGGGCAGGGAGACAGGGAGGGAGGGAAGGAGGAGACGAGCGCAGAGAAGGGCGCCGAAGCACGCAGCCTGCGGCGCGCATGCGTCTCTCGGGGGCGCAGGAGCTCGAGACGCTCCGCTCGCGCTCCGGCGAGGACGCGTGCGGGCCGCCCCGTCGATGGGGGGCGGGGGGGATCACCGTGAAGGACATGAGAGGAACGGGTCCCCAGGTGTTTCGCCGTTTTCGGGCTCTCGGGGGCTTCCACCTGGCTCCGGGACTGTCAGAACACGGCTCAGGATGAAGAACTGGTCCTGGGGGAAGGACCTTGGATCCAAGGCCCGTTTCCCTTAGGGCCTGATTTTTCATGCCAAGGAGGGAGCGGGGGGGAGGGGCTGAGACGCGGGGGAGGGCACGAATAAATATGGAGACAATTTTTCCAAATCCTGGCGATTACGGGCGCGCCCAGGGAAGGGAGAGGGAAAGTGGGCCCGTAATGGCACGATTTTCGCCGACGCCATGTGGGGATGCTCAAGAATGGCTCATTCCCAGACGGCGCTGGCGCGAATTGTGATGTGACTAGAGGGGGGAGGGGGTGGTGAGGGCAGTTGCAGACGTCATCGCGGAAATCTAATACATGGCTCGCGTGCCGAACGGATCCGGATCCACGCCCCCACGGTATGGATGCCGGACCTTTCTCCCGTGAAGGCGCGGTCTCACATGTGATTTCGTTTCGCGCGGGGCATTCCCGAAAAGACGCCCCACGTTCACGAGATCGTGGCCCAGAAACCCGACCCGCGATGCCGCGGATGCGGACATGTTTTCCGCCCGCCAGAGGAAGGAGGGCGGGGTCGAGCATGCAGGGGGAGGGTTGCCTGGACAATGGAAGCGCAGGAGCAGTCAGTGAAGCAACGAGGGGGTTAGCCGTCAAGCAAAAGCTCGGGATCAGCCCGCGCATAGCCAGGAGTCAAAGAGAAGTGTGTTCGCGGTTCTTTGGGTATGCGATCTCATTGGGATCTAGGTTGGGCAATGAGGTTAGTCGTGCCAGAGGCACGGTGGCAGATAGATGTACATTCGTACCTACTAAGGTGATCTCGCATCGGATGATTCGGGTTGGCCGACCGCACCACCGTCCGGCGGCCCCCCCACCCTAGAAAGCTTGCCAATTGCCCTTAGGAATTCCCTTCTGCTTTCAACCCTGAACATGCCATCCGAGACGGTCTACAACGGATTCCCAGTTTGCTTCATATGTTTCCAACACGGTCATTATGGGGCCCCAAGACGGCCCGAGAGGGCCCAGGATTTCCTCGAACAAGACCCCCAGGAGGGACGTTCCGGGCAACAATCAGTTTTTGAAGTTTGCTTGATGATTCTGTGAGTTCTCGCCCGTCTGGGCTTCCGACACCCCAAGAGGTGCCAAAGGTTGCCCAAAAACAGCCCAAGAACCCCCCAAGAGGGCTCCAAAACAGCCCCGAAACGGCCCAAGAAGTGCCCAAGACACCCAAAGAGCATTAATACGGGCCTGACCAGTCCCAAGAAGTCCCCAAGACGGCCCCAAGACGCCCCCTGATCGCCAGACGGACCGAGGGCGCCCTGTGACTGCCCAAGAGAAGCCAAATATTACGTAAGAGTGCTCTGCAGGCTGGGGGGTATTTCTCCGAATGCTACACCGAAGCCCGAAAAAAACCCAAAGGCAAATGCATGCTGGTGCGTCCGAGTCCCAGCCCTTCTCCAACGAAGTTCTGATTTCAGGGCCCCCCCTTCGGCGAGACCCCGTGGGGCGTCCATTCCTTCACCTCAATGCCAGCAAGGAGGGTGACTGGACCTTGGGTCGGGTCGGGCGGGGCCAAGGAGGATAAATCCGTTCCAGAGCGCTCCAGAACGCTCTCGGAACGCTCTCAAAGCGTTCCCGAACGCTCTGGGAGGGCCGCGGCGCCCGAGACATCCTCCAGAGCCGCCGGATCCTAGAAATTTTCGGTTCCTACCTTCCAGAATTGATCTTTGTCTTGGCTTCGTCTTATCGGGGTGTTTGACTCAGGACATCCTCAGGAGTTGTCTGGCTCGGCCTCTGGCTTGGCCTGGTCAAACATGGCTCGGCAGGGCGCCCCGCCCCGACTGGAACAGAGTTGCCTGGCTAGGCTAGACCCTACGCCACGACCTCAACTTCAAACCAGGCGCTTCGCATTCGCAATCCAAAGCCGCATGGACCGCGCCCGCGCCCTGGCAAACATACGCCCTATGCCATTGCCACCGATGCATCAAGCGTACACAGCAGGAATATCTGCATTATGTTGGAGGTCGAATCGCGGCTCTGAGCTCACGATATCAGCTTCAGAGTTTGCTCGCTGGAGCGTACACATACGCAACGTATTACCAACAAGAACACTTCATAAGCAAGCTGACGAATTTAACCTAACCGCACTATCCATGTTAGCGCAGACCACGTATCTCCAGTAACTTATGAAGCGAACCGCAGCGTATCTCGGTTCGGTGGACGTGGGTAGCACGACATAAGCTGAGGGCGCTAAGTCTGGCCCAAGTTGAAAGATGTCCCCCATGGAGTAGTCCGAAACCCCATGGACCCGAGCAATGTGGATTGCACGCGAGGAATTGCTCGGTGGGGGGTCCCAAAAACAGAAGTCCAAATGATGAGGATGCCGGGGCGTGGCAGAAGTCCAGAGGGTGAGGGTGCCGGGGCGTGGTGGGGAGTCAGGGCGGGGGATCAGGGTGGTTTGCAAGCGAGGTCTTGCTCGGTGGGGGCCCCAAAAACAGGAGTCCAGAGGATGAGGGTGCCAGGGCGTGGTGGGGAATCAGGGTGGGGGTCAGGATGGATTGCAAGCGGCGAGTTGCTCGGTGAGGGGGCGCAGGAACAGAAGTCCAGAGGGCGAGGATGCCGGGGCGTGGTGGGGGGTCAGGGTGGGGGTCAGGGTGGGTTGCGAGCGAGGACGTGCTCGATGGGGGGCCCCAAAGCAGGAGTCCCGAGGGTGAAGCGTGGGCTGCGAGCGAAGGAGTTGCTCGGGGGGGGGGCCAAAGACAGAAGTCCGGAGGGGGAGGGTGCCGGGGCGCGGTGGGAATTGCTCGGAGGGGGGGCCCAACAGCAGAAGGGGCGTGTTGGGCCGTGTCGGTAGCTTCCGCGGCCAGGGCTATCGGGCTGGGGCTTGTCAGGCGGGGGGTCCCAAAGACACAACATGCCAGAGGCTTGGGAATGTCGGGGCGTGCCAGGGTTGATCGCACACGCCTCTTGGGGTCGGCGGGTTGTAATGTGTGAGCAGGGTGAGATCGTCTGGACATGGGCTCAGGCTTGCATGTCTAAGATGGGGGGCGGCATACCGTGTTCTACGTGCGAATTGGGCCTACGCGGCTCGCGTTCAGGATTGTCTTGCATTCTAATGCGACACAGCTAATCGCATGACATAGTTTCTGTCCTGTGTTTTTTGTATGTGATGGTTCTGATGCTCTGGATCTGCAGTTCGAGGCCTGCATCTGTTGTCACATCAGCCATGCCATGTGGTGCCGTTATTGCTCGTCTGTTGGGCCTTGCACAACGCTGTGGTGAAGCGGCAAGGATCGGCTCGCCTGGCGAAGGAGCATGAGAAGGAACAGGACAAAGGGGGACGATGAGGGGAAGGATGGTGGGCATCACATCTCCATGTTGCGCTTGGACTCCACACCAACGCGCGACGGGCTCTCCAGCCACGTGTCGATTACCTTGGCCAAGTACCAGGCAGCTGGGGGCACAGAGTAGTTCGAGCCCCCCACGCAGGCTGGAGCTCGCCGTGGGCGAGGTCGTCCAGCATGTCGCTGGGACGATCACTCGCTTGCACAGTGCGGTGAGCCCTGGCACGTCGCCGAAAGAGAACGGAGGAAATGGCGTGCGCAGGCTCAGGGCTACGGGCTACGCGCAATTTTCGGACTCCAGTTCAGCATGTCAATTTTCTTTCGCCCACATGAATGTTTATTTTTCTTCCCACGTCCGCCTGCGGACCGGTTCGATTCGACCAGGTCTTGTTTATTTGAACCGATGGGTTTGCACAGTTCCAAAGCGATCATTGGACGTGTTTGAGTGATGTCGGTTTCCTGTGTGTATCGTTGGGCAGGTTCGTGCTTATTTGATGTCGTCGTTTGAATGAGGGAGGCAGAAATTCAGATTGAATTATGTTGTGTCAGTTTGGTCACATGGAAGCCATCTTGGACGGCCCAACATCCCCTGGCACCCCGCGAAAGTTTGGTGTCGACACCAGAGGCGGTGGTAGGTGGAGAATTGGAAGAAAGGTCGTCGATACAACTATCTCTCGACACCATCTACGCCCCAGGGCTGCAAGGTTTAGACACGGGGTTGTGATACAGTACGGGACGGCTGGAACCTACGAGCTCCGAGACACAGGCAGACAGAGTGAGAGAATAGAGAGTGACGCCTACACGTGTACATACGCATAGAGACAACGCAGTTGTTTGTTCTGTATTTACCTATACAGATTTACAGAGGGAGGGGAAAGAGAGAGAGAGAGAGAGAGAAAGATAATGTCGAGAGAGAACGAGAACGAAAGAGAGAGAGAGAGAGAGAGCGAGAGAGAAAGATCTGTGCCACTCCAACATACTGGAACTATGTGTTTGTCACCCCCCCAGGAGCGATGTGCACACCGGGAAATCTTATAGTATGTGCGTCGTGGCAGTCGCCTTGTGGCCACAACATGGGTATACCATATATTCGGGTCGGACGCGCGCCTCCAAGGAGGACATACAGTACGAGCATGTCTCTGTGCGTCCCAAAAGAGTGAGCGAGATTGAGACACAGAGAGAGAGAGAGAGCGAGACAAAAAACAACAACAACAGCAACAACAACAACAAGGGGACTGAGTTTCGATTCGCCGGTCCCTTTTCATTGCCAGCCCGTTGCCAGGAGGGCATCGTACTCGACACCGCAGAGGCAGGCTGGGCCCGCCCATCTAGAGCTCATAGTTCCTTCAAGGGGGTGACATGATGCTGGGCAGATTGGAGGCTGCCAGTTGCATGCAAGAGTGAGATGCAGGTGCCCCACATGAGCGTGCACACACGCGCACAAACACGCGAGCAGACACAGACACACACACACACACATACACACACGAACACTGCAACATACACGCGATGGGTGTGTTAGAAAACTGAGTCCTAACGCAACATGCAGCGGCCAGCAAACGAGTAGAATACTCAACTCAAATTGAACTAAAGCGCGAACGTCTTGTGCTAATTGTCGGCCGCTGAATCACCAGAGCGGTGTTAGACAGTGACGCGCAATGAAATATTGTAAATGATGCTCGGCAAGCAGATTGGTGGGGTATCCGACCCAGCACGGTCGATCGAGGCAGATTGAAAAGATGTAGACTTACATACCAAGCCAGCAATGCGAAGCAGCCGCAATAATATGTGAAAAGGGGCCACATACTTGCGGCAACATCACCATAGCGTGCTTCGGAGAGACATGCGTCATCGGACGCGCGTCATGCTTCAAGCACCGGAATGTGGTCCATGAGTGGCACGACATGCACGCAACATTTGCCAGCATAGCCATAGCGGCCGTCACATCGCAATAACGATGTGTAAGAACGTGCACAGAGGTGAACAACAATTACCCGCCGTGCAGCTGCAAGGGCAAGACGAGCGCGGCGAGTTGACCACCCAGCCAGACAACCGCCGTCACTACCAAACATGAGGTGAGGCAGAGACACAGGGGAGATACCTGAAATGCGCGAGGAGGCGCGCGGCCGTACCAGGACACGACAGAGCAGCCATGGGCGAAGTCTCAGCCCACGGCGCACGCATTGCGACTACCTGCCAGGTTAGGCAGGCAGTCAGGGGCAGCCACCCGAGAGTGCCGCAGCTGCAGCACCGCAGCCCTCCAAACGGAGGGCCCCCGAGGGGTGCAGTGGCCCCGCTGCCGTCGCCGCTCCACGGCAGCCTCCGAGCTCGGCGGCGGGGTCTGGGGACGGCGGCGGTGCCGCGTTGGGCAACGAGCACACATACGCACACACACACAAACACACGCGCGCATACACCTTGTTTGGCGTCGCGGCCACGCGCGCAGCGGCGCGGCGAAGAGCGCCGGGCGAAGAGGTGCGCGCGGCCAGCCCAGGTCACACGGCGTGGGGAGACTGGATCCGCCCCCCCAAAACCGCACACGCATACATTGGTGCAGACATGGACGTGCACACATGCACCTGCACCGCGACGTGCACGTGCGTTTGCCAAGTCACGCGAACCCTTCGCACATGCGTAGCAACGCCCATGCTGTGGCATGCGCGTGCAGTGCAACACGTATTCCAGGACTGACGTTGCAGATAGAGGTTGTTCTGTAGGGTGGCGCAGGAACGCATCATGAGCATGATCTTACGCACGCGTGTTGGCGGCGTTTCGAGGGGGCAAGGCAGAGGGGGCGAGGGGGGGCGGGCTTGGCATCCAGCCTTCTGAATAGCTTTCTGAACCATCTCCAAACCACGACACGGGCAAGCAAAACGGTACGGCAAAGGTGAGCGCGCATCCGAGAAATCGGGGCACTGGAAGAGGCTCGGGACGTACTCGACGCAGCGCGCGGATGCGATGACCTTCTCGCGTGACGAGGAGCATGTGGCAGCGCTCGGGGGTTCGAATGAGATCTAGCGTTGTCCGATACCAGTTTCGCCGCGCCGTGCCCTCGGAGAAGGTCGCTTGACGAACCTAGAAAAGTGGGCATGCTGAGCGACGAAGCCATCTTGCATAGAGGAGCAGCCGACTTGCTGATTCACGAGAAAGAGGCCAGAGGCGGTACCAAGACCGACCTTGCGCTTCATCAGCGCCGGAGTTTTGCTGATGTCAGGGAACGGAGACTGGTTCATCAGCGCGATGGTTCCGATGCATATGCATTGTTGGTAGCAGAGGAGCATGGCAGTTGTAGCGACTGTAGCTTCGCAGTGTTTCTTCTGGTTGAGCCCTGGAATAGTTGCGGAATGGCCGGACAGGACGACCGCGCCAAGTGGTAGCTCCGAACTGGGAGTTGCGCGCGAGTGCAAAGACCACTTCAGGAAGAGAGTGACTGTTGGCTGATATTCTCGGCTGTCGAATCGCCATGGTTTGGGGAGACAGCCGGAATGGGTAAAACGTCTGAGTCGCGGCGCGAAGAAGGTTATCACATTTTGGGATTGCGGTCTGCATGTTTCTTCGCAAGGGCATGTTGGGACTACCCGTGGGCAGGCTGGCCGTTTTGGCAGGCCTGCTCGGACGGAGCTCACGAGTGCCTCGGCCACTGTTGCGCCGCGAGGCCGCCGTGGGCGTGGTCATCTCTGTGATGCTGATGCGACGGCTCTGATACAGTGTATGGCCATGGCGTCAGCCGTTCACTTCTTCCATCGTCATCACGTCGTGCGTGCGCGCACTGCCCGCGCGCGCAGTGCATACGAGGTCTAGGGTTGCACAGGTGCTCGCCCGAATATCCTCCGATATCGTCGTTTCTGCGACAGCCATTTGCGCACGCGGCCACATCTTCAGATGGACTTGAATGAACGAGGAGGAGGATGGAGGATGGAGGAGGGGCCCCCGCGGCAGCAGGACTTCGGCCAGTGGACAGTGTGCCTTTTGGGAGGCGCGCCCCCTTCTTCCGCGATCGCCCGGGGGGAAGAGGCAAGAGGTCAGGCCTGCCCCCCGGGGGCTCTTCTTCAAGATTCGTGGGCTTACGCCGCACCGCCGAGACTTTGGGGTGCTTCTGCTTCTCGGGGGTCCTTTAGGGGGCTTCTTGTGGCCTATTGTTGTGTTTGTTGGGGGCCTACTGGCGGCGTCGGGGGCCTTTTTGGGGCGGAGGGTCTGAAAGGTGTCAGTTCGAGTTTCTTCTCTTGGATCCTTTTTGGGGCCCTCTTGAGCCGTCTCGGGCGTCCGCAAATCCAGAGGAACCGAAGTCCTGAGGAGTGCTGGGGGAGCTTCTTGGGGGTACTCTTCGGTCCTCTTGGGTGTGGACTACTGGTGGGGACGTCTGGAATCGTCTTTGGGCGCTCTAGAGCTGTCCGACGCCTTCGGAGCCAAACGAGGCAACATGGTGTCACGCGCGAGGCGCAAGGCGGGACGAACGCCTCCTCTAAGAAAGCATGCGAAGTGCCCCACGGAGGCAGGCAGCTGCGCGGACGGCGGCAAGCGCCGGTTTTTGCGAGGAATCAGACCGCCGCGTCGTCACCGCAGGGGAACAGGTGGGATCCCGAAGCGCAAAAAGCACGCGCCTCTGGACGCGTTGGCGCACACTGTTTGGAGGCCTCTTGGGAGTCTGTTTCGAGGGCATGTTGGAGCCTGTTGGGAGGTCCTGGGGGCCTCCTGGGAGAGGCTGAAACCGTCTTCGGGCGCTTCGGGCGCTCTTGAGCCGTGCGGCGCCTTCGCAGTCTGTTTCGGGGGCCTCTCTAGGGCCGTCCTGAGGGTTTCGTTGGCCTCCTTAGGGCCCTCTTGAGCCGTCTTGGGGCCCCTCTTGGAGGCTTCTTCAGACATCTTGGGGCCTCTTGGGCTGGTTTGGAATCATCTTGGAGGCCTCTTGGGCCGTCTCGGGCGCTGTGAAGAGGACTGGGAGGACTGCTCCTTCCTTCATGGGCCCTCCTGGGAGTCGTGTTGGAGCCCTCTGGGGGCGTCTCGGGGGGCCCTCGGGCTGTCAGCAGGCCATCTTGGAGCGTTGTGGGGCCATCGGAGGCCACGAGGAGGCCATCTTCGGTCTTCTTGGGGCGTGCTGGGACCACTGTGAATCCACCTGAGGCCGTCCAGGATCATGTCTGGAGCGGAGCGCCTCCCAGGAGATCCGGTCGGATTCCCCCCTCACTCGAAACCGACCAGACCGAGGTCCCAGTGACACGGTTTGTCGGCGGCGAGCGAGGGGGGGAAGTGAGAAGGAGAAGGCCCTCTTAGAAGGCGGCGGGATTTCTCAGAAGCCCCCGAGAAGTTTTTTGTGTCTCCTGGGAAGGCTCAGAACACTTCTCAGAAGGCCGGGGGACTTCCGAGCCTTCTGAGAAGGCCTTCTCCTCCTCCTTCCCCCCCATCGCTCGCCGCCAAGTTTTGGGAGGAACAGCCCGCACGCCGAGCAACCCTGACGAGGTCGACGGATTTGAGTTTCGATGTGTTAGAGCTTGTGGGGGCTTCTGGCGGCCTCCACAGACCTTCAGAGAGATCTGGAGACCTTTCCGACTGATAGCGGGGACGTCGACGCTTTCGCTTTCTTGTGTTTCCCCTTGTCTGGTGGCTTCCTCATCGTCATGGCTGGGCGCATGACTGGGGGAGTGAGAGCCTCCTTCAGAGCCTACGGTAGGTTCATACGGCGTTGGCGCGCAGGCAACGCCGGCGAAGGTGTTCAAGATCGAGTTCTGCGATGCGGAAGCACCGATGGACAGTAACGCCAATGGACCCGATTGGGTTCAAGTTTGAACGATCGGGGCCGCGATCGGTTCAAGGTTAAACGATCGACGTGGTGTTAAAAGCCTTTGCGCGCTCCGACGCTGCACGAACCCGCCGTACCACAGGGATCCCCAGAGCCATCATGGAGGTGCCGTAGAGTTTCGAAGGCCTCCTGGGTGGCATTTTGTGGTCTTTCTGGGGGCCGCCAGCCACCAGCGTGCGGCCACGGCCAATACCAATGTGCGGCCAAGGCTAGTACCCTCAAGGGCGGGGGCGCGAGAGCTCCCTGGATCCCAGGGTCGAGCCGACGCTCTCATGCGAGCCGAGCGCTGTCATCCGCCTTCTTGCCGTCGCCCGCTTCTTGCCACCACTGGCGACCACGGCCCATGCGTTGCAAGCAGTCGCAACCGTGTTCCGTTAGTTTGCTCTATTGAGCCACAGTGGCCCCGATTGGACAGAACAACATGACGTGTAGGAGGAGGATGAGGAGGAGCAGGAGGAGGAGCAGAAGGAGGAGCAGGAGGAGGAGGAGAAGGAGGAGGCGATGGTTCTTGCCGCCTCCGTTGATTTCTGAGCAGTTGCCCTCGCTCACGGATTCGGATTTGCGAAATGAAAGCCGTTGGTGCGCAGGGAAGCACAGCACACAGCAAGCATGAGTGGAGAAACAACATGCCATGATGGCGCAGAGCGAGCTCGATGCGTGGCGATCACGGGGAGGGCGACTGAGGGGAGGGCTCGGGGCGGAGCACAGGGACTGGACGAAGGCGCGGAAAGGACGCAGGACGTGGAATCATGTGGACATGGAAAGAAAGAGAGAGAGAGAGAGATAAACAACAAAGAGAGAGAGAGAGAAACGGATAGAGAGAGAGAGAGAAACGGAGAGAGAAAGTGAGACAGAACAAGAGAGAGAGAGAGAACAAAAAACAGAAACCACAACAGGAGAGGCAGAGGGAGAGGGAGAGGGACAGAGGGAAAAGGGGGGATACCTTAGAAGGATAGTGGGGGAGGGGAAGAGGGGAAGAGGGCAAGCTAGGTGCGCTCGCGTCATATCTGACGTCCTACCCCTCCCTCCCATCCCTTACCATGGCGCTGATTTTCTCTATCCGCGGACGCGTGTCGTAGCGGACCTGTGGCTCCGCGCGCGCGTGCGTAGTGGGTGGTGGTGCACGTGCGTGCGTGCGTGCGTGTGTGCGTGGTTGTCGTGGTGGTGGTGGTGGTGGTGGTAGTGGTGGTGGTGGTGGTGGTGGTGGTGGTGATGGTGGTGGTGGTGGTGCTGGTGGTGGTGGTGGTGGTGTTGGTACTGGTGCTGGTGCTGGTGGTGGGTGGTGGTGGTGGTGTGGTGGTGGTGGTGGTGGCGGTGCGGCGCGGTGGTGGCGGGCGGATGGGCGCGCGAGAAAAAGGCCCGCGCTGGGGCGAGAACGCCATCCTGAACGACGGAGGCCAAACACCGATCCGAAAATGAGGCCCGCGCTGAAGCGGGAGCACGATTCGGAACGATTCTGGAGCAGAAATGAGGCCGGCGCCTCAACGAGAGCAGCATTTTGGGAAAAAATGACGCCGGCGCCTCAGCGAGAGTCGTTTCCCGGGATTTCCCGGGAATCTTGTGTGTATAATAACAATGCGCGGAGGGTGCGCGGCCATCACCCGGACGCCATCAGGGGAAGAGGGAGAGTATTTTCATATTGAGTAATTGTAGAGGGAGAGGGAGAGGGAGGGGAAGGGGGGGGTCAGAAGGGAAGGAGAGGGACAGGGAGAGGGAGAGGGAGAGAGGAAGAGAGAGAGAGAGAGGTGGCCTCGGGTGCGCGGACGCATTGTACTTACAGAGGGGTCGTGGTCTCGGAAGCTTGAGCCCATCGTTGGTTACGGTGGATCGTTGCTTTGAAAACGCGGACTGATAGTTTGTTGCGAGAGGTTGGGACGTCGGGAGCGCGGACCCAGCGTGTGTCCTAATATAACGATCGTGACCTCAGGGGCTCGGGACACTGGTGTTTGGTGTACGGGGTCGTGGCCCCTGGAGCGCAGACTTTTTTTTTACCAGGGATCGTGGCCTCGGGATCGCGGGTCAGCATGCGAATGCATACGATCGTAGCACGTCGCGAAGTCGGGAGCACGGCTCTAGGGCTTTTATGGCGGCGGAGTCGCGGATCCGTCGTTGGTTCGAGAGGTTTTGGTTCTGGACGTGCAGTGGGGGCAAGCTGTATTGCGAAGACCTTACGGCCGGTGCCGCCAACCCTGAGGTGGGATCTCACTTTCCCCCCCCTGGCGGGGGAGGGATCAAAGCGAAGAGGGCTTCCCTTCGACTCGACCACGGCGTTGCTCGACTGCCCTATGCCTGGAGTGCTTAATGGGGGAGCGGCGACGACGACGACGGCCCAGACGGAAAAGCTTCTCACACACTCCGACGGGGTCGGCGATTTGGTTTAGGATCGCCGAGGCGCCCATGGGGTTGAGGGAGCGTGGTTCGGGGACGGGCGCGCCGTGATCTCTCGGGCCGAGGTGGGTCGCGAGCGGGCCTTGAGGATACATATATATATATATATATATATGTATATATATATACGTAGCACCCCGCAATTGCGGATAAGAGTGAGGGGGCGGGCGCGGGCGACGCGGGCGTCGTCGAGCCGGCGGACCTCGTGGCCCCCACCTTCCTTGTCGATGGCGCTCTCCTCCACCTCCTCCTCCTCCTCCTTCTCCTCCTCTTCCTCCTCCTTCTCCTCCTCCTCTTCCTCGTCCTCATCGTCATCGTCATCCTCCTCCTCCACCTCGTCCTCCTCCTCCTCCTCTTCTTCCTCGTCCTCCCTCTCCCCCCCTCGTCTTTTCATCATGGTCCTCCCATTGTCGTCCTCCCCCTCATCGGCCTCCATCATCGTCCTCCCATTGTCGTCCATCATCATCATCATCCTCCCCCTCCTCCCCCTCCTCGTCCTCCTTCTCCCCCTCCTCCCCCTCCTCCCCCTCGTCCTCCTGCTCCTCCTCCTTTTCTCTCTCCACGTTCTCCTTACATCCTCTCTTCTTCCTCGTTCTCCTCGTCCCCTGTTTACTCATCCTGCCTCCCCCTCCTTTCCCAAGATAACTGCAACGCAATCCTTTTTTCCACTTTATGCTCCCCGCCTTCTCTGATCAAGGCAACTCGCCAGGGCAAAGTTGCTGGACGGGCTGGCGTGGATGTGCGGGGCGTGAAGAGGTCCTTGCGGGCTCAGACGGCATGCAAGAATCCGCCGC